ACTTACTAGTGTTATTTAATAGTTATATTATAGATTATTAATGTATATTTTACAATGTTACGTAATATAAGATTAATATCAATTAATAAATATATTTAAGGGTTTATTATTAGTGTTTCAAATAAATTGTAAATGAGTATTACCTATGTCACTAAAGCTAGAATTAGTACGTTTTCTGATATCGAATATACATAGGTTATTGTAGTATTTTATTTTGTATTTTTTTTTGATAATGGACCGGAATATTGAAGATATACGTTGAAAAGTAATTTACTAGCTAAAAGGGATAAGCATTATGCGAAGTGTACCAAACTCTCGCTGGTTATTATCATTAACGTAGCAAGGTTCGCCTTATAGTTTTTGAGTAGTTCTTCGAAATTTGGTTCTTCGACTGATTCATATGGTCAAAATTTAATTTCACTTTCAGCTTTGTAACACATGTTCATATGAAAAAAGGTATACCAAATAACATATATTTGAATGAGGGACTCGTTTTTATAAAGTAGTTTTCATGATATCGACGTTCAAATATTTGTGCCCAGATGAATCAGAATTTGTTACAGATGAATCAGAAACAGAAATAAAAATAAAAAACTTTGTATTAAGAAAATAATCATATTTGAATAACAACAATAACCTTTTTTATGAAAACAATTATCAGCGATCATATCACGGAAAAAAATCTGGTGAATTAAACAATAATTCTTGTAAAAATATTTTTAAACTCCAGTATTTATAATAATTCTTGTATTATATGGTAAAGTGAGAATAGCAGTCTTAATTATTAATTGAAATTACCAATCACATTGGTTTATTTATTACTACCTAACAATAAAGTAACAAAAATGAGATCAACTTTAAATGGCATTTTTGACAATAATCTTCCTTATCAACTTTCAAAGAAATAAAGATTCTAGGTATAATCATAGATAAATATATATGTAGCAAGGGTATAATTAACTAATAAGTAATAAGGTCAAAGTTAAATAGGTACTAAAAGAAATATTTTCTTGGCTTTGGGCTAGGGACGGAGCTGCTTTCAATATCATCCATAAAGCCTTTTTCTTGTTGACGAGATCTTGAATTGGAGGAAGATGGAATAATCATATCTTCAACAATGCCGTGAGACTCTTTTGTCCGCTTATCATATTGAGGCTTTTTAAACACAAAAATATTCTCATCGTCAGAATCTGAGCGATCATCTACGCTTTTCTGATGGAGGGTCGATAGGACATCTCTGGTGAATTTTGGAGTTATAAGTCTTTCATCGATTGACGAAGTCTCCATCCAAAAGCTGTCGTCATCGGGAAGGTCGAGGTCTTGTTGGGTTGTATCCGTATCTTTTCCAGTCTGAATTTCGGTAGCAGATATTTGGCTACGTTTGATCAAAGAGCTGCATGTAGATTTCTTCGATGTCACATTTCTTTTATCCGCGGATTTGACGTTTAACACAACGGAGTGGTGACTCTGTTGTTTATTAATGTCTTCTATGGTATAAAAACCAATGTGTTGACCGTGAGAACATTGAATGGCTTCTTGTGAACAATTGTCCAAGCTACAACTAAGTTCTCTCATAGCTAAAGTCTGAAGTTGATTGGCACTCCACACAACCTGATGTGTTCTCATGGTCCCGCGGAATTCCTTTAAATTTTCGGGAATCAGCATATCTTTCTCTAATATGCCCGACTCATAAACGACTTCTATAATAACTCCTGGACAGCGTTCTTTTAGGTGTCTGACAAGAATTTCAATGTTTGGAATGTCATTCCCTCTCGCAACTATTTGGTCAGCAGTTCGTTTTAGAACTGCTCCGACACCATCAGGAGCCCCTTTCCCGTGTCCTTTTTCAGAATAATTCCATCGCAAACTAGAAAAATACCAGTGCATTTTCGCCATTATGTAAAACATTTTGCGATTACGATATTGCGCCGATGGTGAATCCGAAATAAAATGAAATGTTGTTACGTCCGGCACCTCGTTTTCAAGAAATCGGAGAATTGGCTGTAAATGTTCCCAGATTGCGACGGCATCATGGCGCAAACATTCACTGATAGTACAGTATGACTGCTTACACAGTTTTCCATCTTTAATGTAATAAATAACAGAGGTGTGCAATGTTACTTGTTGTCTGGAACTGCCAAAGTGGAAAGACTGAATCTCAGAGGCATATTTTGTGTTATAGTTTTCACTAAAATCGCAATGTATGATGCATTCTTCAGGCTTCAGGTTTTGTTTCAATTTTTTTGTATAATTATATTGAGTTATAATATTTCCGCAGTGTCGCATATAAGGTACTAACAGGTTTTCGAAATGTTCGATTATATCTTTGGGATGCGCTGCAACTTTTGCCTTAATCGTTTGAAGCGTAGCTTTTTCTTTTCCATCTTTGATATAAGTTTTTTTTACTTTGTTCCAAATAAAGTAATGTATTTCTTTGGTATTGTCAAATTCTTTATAATTAATGGCCTTATTTTTGCAACTATCACATTTCTTAGCCAGACAGTGAACATTCCTAGGATCACAACATAGTGATTGTAGAATCTCATTTACAGATTTTTCCACAATCAGATAATATTTCCGAAGGGCTACAACGACCAACTCCATATTTTCATGATCTTTACATAAACATGTTTCACGAATATTGACGTTTGGTACACGTACCCAAAATGGACGAAGCTTGCAAAATGCACTGTAGCTTATTTTGTATTGAGGATTGGTTTCAAGATACTTTTTATGTAGATTCTGCAAGCTGTCGCTAAGATATCGCTTCTGTTTTCTTATTTTTCCTTTGGTGACAAATTCTTTTTTTCCCGCGCACATTCTACTGTTTTCATCTTCTTCAAAATACATAATGACATTTTCTTTAATTCCGGTAGCACAGGGTTCAACAACAATCTGTATTTTTTCATTCCCAGGTAGATTTTCCTTTTGTCTTTTATGCACGTCTGTTACCCGTTTATCTTTTTCTAACCGTTTTATCTTTTTCCGGTAATTTTCATTTACTCTTTTAATTTCCAGAATTTTTTGGTCTTTCAATTGTATTTCTTTAGTATATCTATATTGAAACTTTCGTAAAATATGTTTCCAAGGCGATTTCTTTTTAAGAGGTGTTTCCCTTGCAGCTTTTTTATAAACTTTTGGGCTGACGACACGTCGTGGAGACGATGTGATGCTACTTTGTGGGCTGGGAGTCCTTGATGAATCTGATATCGAAGTATTTGGTGAAGGTGATATTATTCTCGAATGGACGTCAGCATTGGATGAGATATCGGTTTCATTTTCTGTTAGGTTCAAATCAATTCCAAGTGTCCTCTTTTGTCTTATTGTTGATCTTGTTATACGTGCAGAATGTGGTGAAAACTGAGTTAATACCTGTGATGAGCTGGGAATATCCGGAGATCTTGGTATAATCGAAACTTCTGGAGATGATGGTAATTTCAAATCTAAAGGATCATTTATTTCGGTATCGTCTGCTGGATCACATTCGTCAATGATTTCCTCTTCTGAATGAACATCACGTTCTTTTAATAATTTCTTTTTAGCATACCATCTTCGAGTACTTTCTCTGCTTTTCTTCCTAGCTAATTTTTGTTGTTTCGGTGTCAAATTCTGAACTGATATGATTTTACCTTCTCTCTTTCTTTTCAAATATGTTTCTTTCATTTTTGATTTCCACAGAGCATACTTGTCTGGATCTTTTCTTATATTTTCCATCCTTTTACGTTCTGCGATTCTCTTTTTCTCCTTCTTTTGATCTTTAGTTTGTGGCATTGTTATGGACTGTAATATTGAAATAACAGAAATTAGATAGAGATTAATGAATAAGTAGGTTTTATGGTTGTTAATACGGAAGATTAATGTCAAAAGTGCCATTTAAATAATACTGGTCTCAATTTCTTTACATTATTTTAAGTAATAAATACACTGTTAGTTGTGATTGTTATTCTTAAATAATAATTATTAATTCTTAACTAAGACTAAGGCCTATCAAAAGTGTCATATGTAGAATAAATTTATACTCCTGTGATTTTTTAATAATTCAAAAGGTTGTATCTAAGTAATTATAATAAATAAGACTAGAACTACTGACTTGTACACGCTCAAAAATTGGACAAGGAGTAGGCAACAAAAGCGCTCGTTTTGTGCTAGAGAGACGAAAACTAATTCATTTTATGATTTATATGGGGTTTTGACCATATGAATCAGGCACAGATGAATCAGGATTTTGCCTACAATCATGCATAACTCATCATACATACAGACTTTAGTATTGTTATCTTTTTACATGAATTTATAACCCAAGAACACCTTACGAAACTCAGATTGAAGTTTTAAAACAATAAAATAAATTTTATAAAGTAGGCAGTGTAATCAGAATGCCACCTGAACCAAGCACAGATGAATCAGATATTTACCTTCGTAACACCGGGATCTAAGCCAAAAAGCCGCACGTCCGCCTTCTAGCTCGTTCGTTGCACGACTGGCGTCCCCCCGCGCAGGAAGCCAGACTCTCATTAATTATTACCCGACCAAGTACGGTCAAGCGCAGCTTACGCCACATTAATCAGTATTATACGTCGGACACTTCTTAGTTACTTATTTATAAACACACTAACGTAGTTATAACTAATACCCATTTTTTTTTGTAGGAGGGCAATTCATTTCCTTTCGATATAATTATTATTTATATTGATTTATCAAAGGGAAAATGCGACATCGACCATTTTGTTCCGGAAAATGGCAAACGGACGCGTTATATGAATCAGAAGAACAAACTTCAAATATTTTTATTCTGTACCTAGACAGCAATTATTTGAAAAATATATTTTGTCCCAGATAGATATACAGATAAAACAGTCCAAAAAAAAATACATGCCGTTTTATTAGTTGGTTACAGGAAATATATCCATAGAAATCGAAAATTTTGTCTCTGAAGAACTACCCTTTTTGCAGTATTTTATAGGTAACGTAATTAACGTATTTTTATATACTATTTTCAGTGTACACTAGGTTGCAGCCTGTGGCAGCAGGGACTTATGAACTCTTGTCAGATTGTTTGCGTAAGTTTACCAGCATTAACGTTGTGTTTGTTAAGTGATTATGTTTACGATTTTTTTTTTAATAAATTATATCTTTTTACAGAATGTCACATCGGAAACTGTATTTTCGCGGGAGTTATACTGTGTGATGGGTTGCAACGAAGCTCTCAATACGTATTACCAAAAGATCAGAGGTATGTTCAAATCACAGCTTAGAGATAGATTCTCTTTAAACTGTGGTTCAAATCATAGTTTAATGACGGGTTCAACTATTAATAATTACAAAATTGTGCGGTTGTTATATAAGTAAATGACTCAAAAAACGGCTCCGTAGCGCAGTGGCTTAGCAATGAGTTGTTGCGCTGGGGGCCACGGGTTCGAATTCCGCACGGAACAAGTATTTGTATGGCCTACAAATTATTTTTCCGGGTCTGGATGTACGTCCTCGTGCAATTTATGTTTGTAAACTACCTCCACGATACAGGAGAAAATCCCAGTGCGGTGGTAAAGTTTAAAAAAAAACAACAGAAAACTGAAACAGAAATATACAAATACTGTCAATGGGTGTCAATGGGTCTGCTTGCCATAAGTATTTGTGGATACATGTAACACTGTAATGTATTAGTATCTAAAAATCACGATTTTTTTAAGCGCAAAGATATACTTTAACCGAAATTTTAACCGTTAACTACTACTACCATACCAAGACTACCAATATTACATACCACTACTTGGTAAGTAAGTAACACTAATGTTACAACAAGAAAAAAAAATTAAAGGTTATGTACATTTAATTTTTACTGTGTTAATTTTCTTCCCTTACAGAGTTGATCGGAACACCCACCGCCCCAGCATTAGTAGCAGACAGCCTAACAGCAACATCGCTGTCACTCGTATGGGAAGCGCCTAATCTAGGAAACCTGAGCTACTTGGTGCAGTGGCGATATGAAGAGCTACCTGGTAGCTGGCAATACTATTCGAACACAAGTCACTCTGATCGCTCTATCATTCATGTAGATAATCTGCGGCCATACACTAAGTACCGAGTACGTGGTTCAAAACTTATAAGTAATAAGTATAAACACCTTTCACAACGCTTCATTACATCATCAAATTATTACCATTTTAAGACGTATGTCGCACATAGCCAAAGAAAGAAGTAAAGTTACAGACGTATATACGTCTCGCTGCTGGGCACAAGCCTCCTCTCATTTTAAAGAGGGTTTTAGAGCAAGGAAGTGTCCGCTGCGCTGCCCCAATGCCTGTTGGAGACCTTCACATGACTTTGAAATACTTTTTTTCTTATTTCTCAGACATGCGGGTTTCCTCACGATGTTTTCCTTCACCGCCGAGCACGTGGTAAATCAGCACTTAAAATTGCAGTTAACAATTTCATTGGTGGTAGCACGTGGTAAATAAGCACTTAAATTTACAATTTAACATTTTACTGTTGCCGGCGGGGACCGCACTGCCGCCAAATAAGTGCCCATGCTCATCACACAGAGCAAACGGTCTACATCTTCTGCTTCTGTTTTAAGCATTTTACTCTGTAAACTTGATACTCCACAGAGTACTTTTTATATACTGAAAGTATACTCTAAGTTACGGAATAAAAAAGGCAAATTATAATTAAGTGTAATCGCTTTAATATGAAAATTATTTATTTTATAAATTAAATTGATGCCAATTGATACGTAAATTAAAAATACGTACCTACTAATTTTAAAAAATAATAATTTCTCACTACAACCTACAATTACAACTATTCTCTATTAATCTATTATCGTTATATTTATTTACATTTTAAATCAATAAGAACTAAATAATGATTTTCAATGACGCAGTTCCGAGTTGCTATCTTCTTATCCGGTCGTGTTGGAAGCGGTGAGCCAGTGTACTCGGCTCCCTCTGTGGTTATATCGACGTTGGAGAGCGGCAAGCCAAGCTCTGCACCTACAGCGTTACGCGCGGCGGCGCCTGATCCCAGTAGAGTGGCCATTTCCTGGGAGCCGGGACCTTTCCCCAACGGACCGTTGATTTCTTACGTACTGAGGCTCGCTGATACCCAACCTAACACTAATGACGCATTGGAGGCGAGTAATACAGAGTTATAATTTTTTATTTGTTTTAAAATATACATAAATATTTGTAAGCTCATTTTAAGTTATTTCTTTACTCGATTTTTTCGTGCTTTTATCGGTTTAATTCTTTACTAACACGCACTCAATGATCTATTATTTGTGCTTCCTTTATATTATCATTGTAATTGTTATATATAACATGTTATTATATACACTCTTCCTCATACCAACCAGTGAGTGTCGTCAGCAGCATCTTCCGTTCAATAGTTCAACTGATTAAAAAAAACTGTGATCGCTTAATTTTTTAAATTTCTAATATATTTTACAGGATATGCCAGCATCGAACAACACTTTGTTTTATATGTTCCAAAATCTGGCTCCAGCAAGAGAGTACGAGGTGTCGGTTGCAATGCGCAATGCTGTTGGTGAAGGTCCTAGAGCTTACGTTAGGATTTCAACACCACCGCTGCCTAAATGTAAGTTTTATTACAAGCCTCGATCAATTTTTCAATTACAAGCCACAAATTTATTTTAAAGAACGCTCTTGATTTCAACGAAGTATTAATTTAATATAATATAGCACTCATATTGTGTTACTGAAGTTCTAATTTTAGTTTTTAGATTATAAGTATGCTTGAATGTTGAAATTATATGATATTTTATAAGTCAACAAGACTTAAAGATATAGTGTTGTGTTGTTTATTTTACAGCTGTCCCCAATCAACAGCCGATATTAATATTGGGTGGAGAACACAATATTTTAGCAGCCCCTGCTAATGACATACTCTCCGATCCAATAGAGTTGTACAGTACAGAAAAAATTATAACAGGTACGTAGACTTGACGATAGTAAAAAACTGTTAAATTTACGTCTTCCTGTCCACTGGAATTATATGGACCACATCATTAGATTAGCTATGTTTGAGACGCTTGACAGATAATCGTACTATCACACACATCTCTTGAACCTGTGACGCAGCATCCCGTCGCCGGGCTGGGCATTAAATCTATCACATTATATGATATGGTATGAATTGGTATAGCACAATCTATCAAAGTCACCCATAACACTTTTATTTCTCTCTTCTGACGCCTACAGGAAGAACTGGTGTTATGTATTCTCTTACACTCTCATCTCACGGAAAAAATATGTAATATAATATGTTATTTTTTTATTTATTGCAGGAGTTGGATTGGACATGTCGAGTGATTCGTTATTCGTATCCGTATCAAACGGCTACGTGTATCGAAGCTCATTATCAAAGAAAAGCTTTTCCGAAACTATTCTTACGCCTAAAAATATTTCATACAAACCTTTAGATTTATCAGTGGATTGGTTAAACCGACATTTGTATGTACTAGGAGAAGTATATTATGCGAGAGAGGGCCCCAGTTGGTTAAATACTTCGTCGTTATATTCAAATTGGGAGATAATTCGTTGTGATTTTGATGGAAAAAATCAGATTGTTGCTTTGTCAGGATTCAATTCTCGACCGATACATTTCGAAGTGGATGCTTATAACGGGTAAGAAAAGTGATGCTATTACATAAATAATTTCTTATATTTACGGGAATCATTGAATGCGATTACTGTTTTACGGTAATTTCTCTATTATATATAAATAAGAGTCAAGTGTCTGTCTGTAATATCGAAATAACTGCCTTATATTGAGTTGAGGGGGTCATTTGTGTGCTATTGTATGTATTAATTTTTGAACCTTTTTTAATTTTTGTCTGTCTGTGTGTCGTTCCGGACTAATCTTCGAAATAGCAGAACTGATTGCGATGAAAGTTCAGGGACAGATAGAAGAGCAATATCAGGAGGGATTATTTAAAAAAAATGTTCACCGATTTTTTTTGGAAACCATTGAAGCTATTATGATTCTTTTTCTATTAAATAGATATACTTCAGGGGAAAGCCATATAAATTTAAAGAAATAAAATTCTATCCATATGCATGATTAAGGGATGAAGATTTTAATAAAACTATTTCAACAACATTGTAGTTATTACCATGAATTTGTGATCAGTCTTAGACCACTCAACAACAAATTAATAACAATTAAAGTAAAAACGACTACAACAAATTTAAAAAAATGTGCAATATGGACGAAAGCTTGTGACGGCTATACTTTTCCAGCTAGAAATCGCCACATAACTAGCCCGTTTACGAGCGCTTAAGTTACATCATTATTTAAAAAATTAACAATAATTTTAATACTTATAGGTATTTATTCTGGGCGCTACGCGGCGTAGAGAGAGGTGGTTTATATAGGTTGGACTTAGCCAATATCTCAAACGGAGTTCGCCACGACGCACCGCCAGAATTAATAGTGAGAGACGCACACCTAGGGGCTTTTACTGTGGACCATGCTGACTTTAGACTTTTAGTCGCCCATTTGAAAAGAAATACTGTCTTGGCGGTATCTTTAGACGGGTTAGTATATTGCTATTTTTATTTTGATTAGATTAATTTCACATTTTTGATAAAAATTACAAAAGTGTAAATAACTAATTCTAAATAGTTTAAGTGCTACCTAATAGTTTTACGTAGTAGAGCCCCATCGGAGCTGAATATACCACGAATGGGTTGGCCCAATCGGGGAAGGGCAAGCAGCAAAATTAGCAGCATAATGGTGTTTCCTGTGGTTAGTGTAGAAGGCTCGAGATCCTTGTAACTAGTAACGTGGTAAATATAGTAAATTCCATTTAAGTTTTCAGAGCTGACAAAGCATCCGCATTCTAATTCTGCATTGATTGCAGATATAGACCAAAAATAGCGTCCATAATACCATTATTTTAAACTGTGTGCTTGTGAGCACCCATACTTGTATAAAATTTTAATCAGAATACCATGAAATAGGAAATATAGACAGCGATTAAAATCACAAATGTATTACGTAATTAAATAAAAATATGCCATGGTATGCTAAATTTATATAACATAATTAGTATAAGTATAAAATCACATTTTTATAGCGTGGCCGTATAATATGTGCTTTAAGATTAAATAAAAGAATAAATAATTAATAATATTTGGATATTTATAGACGAGAAGTAACAGACTTCAGAACAAACACCCAAACACCAATGTTTTCTTCCGTACGATCGATAGCATACGCTAGCGGCCTCTTTTACTGGACTAACGGCAGAGAAATGTTGATTGAGGAATACCACGCCAAAAGCGATAGCTATTTCCACAACGAGTACCCTTTGGCTTATAATACCAAGTTGATCGCGACCAGTCATGTTCTGGTGGCTTTGAGGAGTTGTCAGCCAATACCAGTGCCAGTGAATCCACCATTAGGCGTACAAAGTGTAATGGGAATTAATCGAGCGAAAGTATCATGGTCCCCGCCGCATCTTTTGGGTCATCAGGGAATCGGGGCTTGGCAGCAATGGACATTTCATCTTCAGTTGTCAATGGACAACGGCGATACTATCAATATGTAAGTAACGTTCTAAGTGTTGCATGCACTACTTCATATCTTCCCTTCCTGTATAATTGCTACAACATACTTTTACAATTATTAACCTCCCCAAAATATAAAAGATTCCGTACCGTGTAGTGGCGGTGTGACTACTCCGTAGCGTCCCGTAGGTGTTATAAGTGACGACTAGGGGAAAGAAACCAGAAGAGCAACAGTGGCTTCCTAATTACAACTAAAAAAATTAAATAACTGCGCTTTGCGGCAAATATGAAGATCGTCTATGTGGGATGCCTATGTTCAGCATTGGACTTCTCATAGGCTGTATCGGTAACGGTAAATGAAAAGATTTGCCGTGATCACAATATTTTTAAAATTTCCCATATTATATACCTACGAGTAAATCTCCACACGTTCATCGATCTGCATATTATATTATAAACCGCCATTTTTCCCATATTTACTCTGCTATCAGTCGAAGGTCATTTGGACTTTGTTGTAATTTTACTAGATTTTTTTTTATATAAGAGGGGGCAAACGAGCATACGGCTCACTTGATGGTACGTGTCTACTGCCGCCCATGACCAACCGCAGCACCAGGGGAATTGCAGATGCGTTGCCGGCCTTTTATTTTATTTTTCTCATATATTGCCTTTTTTTCATACACTCATTCTATAACGTATCTTGTTAAAAGTTGTTATTGGAAAATCAATCACATTTTAATGGGATTTTTATTACCTATGATATAGGTTTTGTTTTCTCTTCTACGTCTTTTTGATTTACCTTTTTATACAATATATCAAGTTTTGTGACTAATTTTCTATTTCATTTTTAATTATAAATTAATTAAAAATATATTTTTATAGAAAAAACATCAATGAATCTGCGTACGTGGTTGAAAATTTAAAGCAAGATACGGAATATGTTATTAAAGTGGCAGCAGAAACAGAATCTGGTTCAGGTAATTAAACCAAACAACAAAAAAAGAGTCGTAATATGAAAGCTAGAAATATAAAACGCCATTTCTAACATTTTATACCGCCTTTACTACTGCTTTAATACGTTGTGATTTTCTTTTTAGGTCCTTGGTCTTCTGAATTTGTAGGAAAGACTTTTGCATCATCACCCACGACACTACACAGCACTTTACTTTGGTCTGGACCTGATGGTCTCCTACAAACAGATTTAACCGGAGATAACTTGCAAACTTTGATTCACAGGTAAGGTAATTTTGACTAGAATAATATAAAATATTTGCATATGCTACCAAAATGTTACCAAATGTAAACGACACTTTTATTTTTAAAGGGCGCATTTGAAAAACCTTTACATTACCGATATTTCGTGGTATCGCGACAAGCTGTACTTAGTAACAAATGCTTCAACCGTGATGTGGTACAATACAACGTCGCATGAAAAAGGCTTGATGCCCAATATGGACAACGTTGGCAGTTTGGCCGTTGATTGGGTTGGGAAGAAGATTTACTGGTCAAATCCTAAGCAACAATTGGTGCGTGTGGAATTATTTAAACTTAGTAATTTTTTAAATGTATTCAGTCTTATAATTAATATACGCTATAGATTTTCAACTCTGTTTAAATAAGCCAGAATTTAATTTGTTTATAACTTGTAAGCTTAAGGAGTATGCAAAAAATAGAATTTACATCTAGCAACTAATGCTTGATATTTATATGTGCTATTATGTCTCTATTTTCTTTATAATCTGTGGTTCACAGAGAACTGATAGTTATTATTAGGACTTTAGTTTTTGTAACAGATGTTTAAAATTTATTAATTCCTTAACTTCCTAGATTACGCGTGGTAATTTTGAAGGTGGAAACCGCGAGCCCGTGCCAATAGTTACGGTAGCAAAAGAACTAACTATCGATTCATTGGGTGCATATATTTACTGGAACACAGGCCACGCTGTTGAAGCTGCAAGACTCAATGGCGAAAACAAAATTATTTACTACCCTGCACAATTATTCAGTGGCAAACAAGGTAGGAAATGACTAACAAGATTCTATTTAGTGAACACATTGTTGCATTAGGCTCCACTCCTGTAATAACAATTGTGAGCTAGTAAATAAATATATTAAAAAAATCTCCTTTTTCATCAGCCCGTAAGAGTCTAATGCAGGCCGTGAGGATCTCCCATTGTAGAGAGAATTAGCCTTAATCATCTCGCTTGGCAAGCGAATTGGCGATCGCACGAATGTTTGGTACAATTCGCACCGTTGATGTTGTCACAGAATAAATAATAATACTTCGTAATGTTGTCTCCTGTCGCCGATCTTGGTAATTTACGCCTGGCATAATATAAATGGTTATACCGCCATCACTTGGAATCCACAAGGTCTTTTTATTATCTCCCCTTGTTGGTACTTACGACACCCACGAAACGTGTCTAAAATTCTACTTGTCATGTACTGGTATTGAAATATTTTCAAATTAGTTACAATATTTTACCCACTAACGATATGATTTCGTATTTTGAGATATATTATATAATGTAAATCGTTAAATATTAAGTAAATTTAAACATTTTTCTGACTTTGTACTTATTTGGAGGTACAAAAATTTGTAATAATTCTAGTAATGGGCTTGACGGCGGATTTGGAAAAGAAATGGTTATATTGGCTTGTCAGAAGTTATGATGGTTCTGAATTACATCGAGCGCCAACGGCTGACAAAATATCTACTGGTGTTAGCGAGGTGCGTACTGTTGTATACACAAAAAAGTGAATTATTAATGTTTTTGTGATTCATCTGTTTTTCACATTTAATGTTTTTAAAAAAATTCGTAGTGTTTCTAATTACTAATTGTTTAACCTGGCATTAGGTATCCGGATCGCTTGTTACACGATTGGCTGGAACAGCAACGCTGGGTCCACTCTGCTACTTTAGTGGACGATTGGTTTGGGTTCAAGATGCATCGAGAGCGGTTGTTTCTGACTTGGCAGGCAAATATACAGCCGAATTGGTGCCAAGAGTTCATGTTATTGCTGTAAGAGATCCATCGCTACATGCTGATAGCGGTACGCAATTAATACATTTATTATTTCTTAATACAATAAACCCGTTCGAGCTACAACTATATTAAACCTGCAGCGTGGCTCTACCATTATATATGTATTACACGCATCGATCACTAATAAAAATCTAGATACACAATCCCATGCAAAGGGTCTCTATAAACTGTCGCCAATTGTTTTGACGTAATTCTAGTTGAAATAAATATTTATTAATGTTAATTCAACTTTAAATGCATTCCCTAAAGTTGTAATCACAAAGCTACGTACAAATTAAAAACACACCCAATGTTCGAGTGGGCGCTCATTCGGTAAGGACATTTTTGTCAGTGATCGTGTATTTAGTTTTTTTATTAGTGATCGATGATTACACGTATATTTTATACATTCTGATCATTATATCTGAAAAAGATCTACAATTATATTTAATTGAGATGAAATTACTGACAACTGTGTTTATAATTTTGTCCATAGAATCACTCATAGCAATCCCGGAGACTATCAACGCTTCGTCAATATCAGTGGTGGGTACGTGGGAACGGTTCAATGTAACATGGGCGCCAGCACAGCGTGTTAATGTCAAGAATGGACGCGTCTTCTACGATGTCAGTCTTCAATTCGAAGGACAATTCAAAATTGAGGCAAGTTTATCTCACATTGGAATAATTCTGTCTAAGTGGAGACTATCAGTCTGAATCTGAGATTCATAATTTTTCTAGTCCATATATACAGATGCCTCACAACAATACGCTTAATTAAAATACGAAAACCAGCGATTGTGTATGTTTAATTAGCTTAATTTGGAAGAAGCTCATATCCATCAATGGATTGTTAACGAAATATGTGTTAATTTACTTTAAAAAAAAAACAGTGCGTGTCGTGAAGACACACGATATAAGTGAAACTTTTATATTACAGAAAAAACATTTCAATTATTAATATTACTTTTTGTTCATTTTTTAATAGCGCCATCTACTTCATTCTATAAGTTAAAGTCATTTTAACAAAATTGATTAACTCTCATACCTCGTTTAGACTCTCGCCTCGCGGCTCGCCTCGTACCTCGCCTCGCAGCTCGCGTGTTGTTGTGAGGTAACGAGTGCCTGTTTACACTCTCGCGATGCGGTCAGTTTGCGTTGAGCCAGCAACGATGAATGACGTCGAAATAATAGCGGCATCAGCTCTTGCCTTAATAAGTATTTATCGATGTTTGACCATTTTAAAAAGAAGGAAATTAATAAAAATACGTCGTTGAGGAAGAATATGACGGATGATATCTATTCATCGAAAAAGAACCTTTTCAGTTTCATAATTTTATATAAAAATTGCTAGTACCTATTGTGCAAGATTAAATAATATTATTTTAATAAAATTGTAATTTTAAAACAAAAGCAATTCGAATGTTATTATGAAAGGGCGCCGTAAACAAACTGAAACGAGACGCGAGTGTAAACACCACGCTCGCGTCCCTCGCGAGGCGCCACGAGCTAGCGTTTACACTCGCGCCTTGTGGCTCGCCTCGCGACTCGCCTCGTCGCTCGCGCGAGAGTGTAAATGGGGTATTATAGTGGTACGTAGAAAATGTAGTAAATGGCGCTATTACTCAAATACGATCACTCTTTCTAAAATAAATACGTGTACCTTGGAGTAGAATAATTGTAGGCTTTATTTATTATAATATTGTTACCAAGTTTAAAAAATATTTTATAATTTCTTCTACATAATATATTACATAGCATATTGTACAGTAGGTATCCAAGTTTTCAATTTCAACAAATAACACAAGTAGCTTATGGTAACTAAAGTATCTAAATGATAGATAATAGGAAAGTACTATATTCTATCTCAAATACTGTATTCTATCTCATTCTCTCGCAAGCTTAATCTCATCTCATAGATATATATGTTTGTTCTCTTTAGTGTCGCTTTTTATATTCATCACAGAATAAATAATAGTACAAGAAGTTTTACCAAGTTTCAAATCACAACGGTTCTAAAGAAGTTTTCACTTCAAAATCGATCAACTGTTAATTTCTTTAAACAGTTACATTTGATTCACAGAGGACAGTAGACGTGCCATGGGTCGAGGTGGCAGAACGGTCACCTTCGCCGTACAGCAGCATGGAGGTGACAGTCCGCGCGCACACGCACTGGGGCGGCGGCGCGGCGGCGCGCACTCACGCGCACTCGCCGCCGGCCGCGCCCTCCGCGCCGCGCGACCCCGCGCTCTACGTGCAGCCCGCGCACAGGTAACGTACAGCAGCATGGAGGTGACGGCACGCGCACAGGTAACGTACAGCAGCATGGAGGTGACGGCACGCGCACAGGTAACGTACAGCAGCATGGAGGTGACGGCACGCGCACAGGTAACGTACAGCAGCATGGAGGTGACGGCACGCGCACAGGTAACGTACAGCAGCATGGAGGTGACGGCACGCGCACAGGTAACGTACAGCAGCATGGAGGTGACGGCACGCGCACAGGTAACGTACAGCAGCATGGAGGTGACGGCACGCGCACAGGTAACGTACAGCAGCATGGAGGTGACGGCACGCGCACAGGTAACGTACAGCAGCATGGAGGTGACGGCACGCGCACAGGTAACGTACAGCAGCATGGAGGTGACGGCACGCGCACAGGTAACGTACAGCAGCATGGAGGTGACAGTCCGCGCGCACACGCACTGGGGCGGCGGCGCGGCGGCGCGCACTCACGCGCACTCGCCGCCGGCCGCGCCCTCCGCGCCGCGCGACCCCGCGCTCTACGTGCAGCCCGCGCACAGGTAACGTACAGCAGCATGGAGGTGACGGCACGCGCACAGGTAACGTACAGCAGCATGGAGGTGACGGCACGCGCACAGGTAACGTACAGCAGCATGGAGGTGACGGCACGCGCACAGGTAACGTACAGCAGCATGGAGGTGACGGCACGCGCACAGGTAACGTACAGCAGCATGGAGGTGACGGCACGCGCACAGGTAACGTACAGCAGCATGGAGGTGACGGCACGCGCACAGGTAACGTACAGCAGCATGGAGGTGACGGCACGCGCACAGGTAACGTACAGCAGCATGGAGGTGACGGCACGCGCACAGGTAACGTACAGCAGCATGGAGGTGACGGCACGCGCACAGGTAACGTACAGCAGCATGGAGGTGACGGCACGCGCACAGGTAACGTACAGCAGCATGGAGGTGACGGCACGCGCACAGGTAACGTACAGCAGCATGGAGGTGACGGCACGCGCACAGGTAACGTACAGCAGCATGGAGGTGACGGCACGCGCACAGATAACGTACAGCAGCATGGAGGTGACGGCACGCGCACAGGTAACGTACAGCAGCATGGAGGTGACGGCACGCGCACAGGTAACGTACAGCAGCATGGAGGTGACGGCATGCGCACAGGTAGCGTACAGCAGCATGGAGGTGACGGCATGCGCACAGGTAACGTACAGCAGCATGAAGGTGACGGCACGCGCACAGGTAACGTACAGCAGCATGGAGGTGACGGCACGCGCACAGGTAACGTACAGCAGCATGGAGGTGACGGCATGCGCACAGGTAGCGTACAGCAGCATGGAGGTGACAGCACGCGTACAGGTAACGTACAGCAGCATGAAGGTGACGGCACGCGCGCAGGTAACGTACAGCAGCATAGAGGTGACGGCACGCGCACAGGTAACGTACAGCAGCATGGAGGTGACGGCATGCGCACAGGTAGCGTACAGCAGCATGGAGGTGACGGCACGCACACAGGTAACCTACAGCAGCATGGAGGTGACGGCACGCGCACAGGTAGCGTACAGCAGAATGGAGGTGACGGCACGCGCACAGGTAACGTACAGCAGCATGGAGGTGATAGTCCGCGCGCACAGGTAACGTACAGCAGCATGGAGGTGACGGCACGCGCACAGGTAACGTACAGCAGCATGGAGGTGATAGTCCGCGCGCACAGGTAACGTACAGCAGCATGGAGGTGACGGCACGCACACAGGTAACCTACAGCAGCATGGAGGTGACGGCATGCACACAGGTAGCGTACAGCAGCATGGAGGTGACAGCACGCGTACAGGTAACGTACAGCAGCATGAAGGTGACGGCACGCGCGCAGGTAACGTACAGCAGTATGGAGGTGACGGCACGCGCACAAGTAACGTACAGCTGCATGGAGGTGACGGCACGCACACAGGTAACCTACAGCAGCATGGAGGTGACGGCACGCGCACAGGTAGCGTACAGCAGCATGGAGGTGACGGCACGCGCACAGGTAGCGTACAGCAGCATGGAGGTGACGGCACGCGCACAGGTAACGTACAGCAGCATGGAGGTGATAGTCCGCGCGCACAGGTAACGTACAGCAGCATGGAGGTGACGGCACGCACACAGGTAACCTACAGCAGCATGAAGGTGACGGCACGCGCACAGGTAGCGTACAGCAGCATGGAGGTGACGGCACGCGCACAGGTAGCGTACAGCAGCATGGAGGTGACAGTCCGCGCGCACAGGTAACGTACAGCAGCATGGAGGTGACGGCTTGCGCACAGGTAAAGTCCTCCTTACGCCTTTCTTATATATGATTCAAAATCGCTGATTTATCATCTTCATTATCATCATAGTTCTCTTTTTATTTTTATTTTTGTGTAAAATTTATCATACATACTATTTTTTTTTTCTGTAACCGCCTTTTAGCATTAAGTCCGCCTATTGTTCCTATATACTGAGTCAGGTTCGGTTAAAAAAAATGTATAAATAAAATCATGTATTTTTACAACACAGTGGTGGTCCACTGACTGCAGTATTCCGATGGAAGCCGCCTTCTCGAGCCAATGGTATAATTCGTGGGTATGAAGCGCAATGTTGGTCCTTGTCCATATCTTCTTTCACAACGGATTCGGCTGTCAAAACTTCAGCCTGCCCAGATTCGTTGTTGTCTCCATTACACACGCAACTTATGCTGAGACAACTGATGCCTGATTCTACATACTACTTTCGGGTGAGTTTTTAACAGAGTTAGATTGTGTGATTGATTAGCATTTTTATTAGTAGATTATTAAAATTGTTACATTGTTTTTGGATATCAAGCAACGTTTTATGTTTATTGCCTTTAGAAACAGTCCGATATTAATGCAAATACTTAGTATTAATTACAATATTAAGTAATGAAACAAATTTTATGGCGTTTGATTTACCGATGATCCGGCTCGAAGGACCAGACGGATGTTTGGTCTTGTTATACCACACCCTTTACTTGATCTGATGATGTATGATTTAAATACAATCTTGAGAAAAAATAAAGATTTATTGAGATTTCACAATATACGAAACTTGATAAAATATAAGGTTAAGTCACGCGACCGTATTGGTAGGCAAAAACAAAATCACTAAAAATGTAGAATATTAATAAATCAGGGAGAATGCACGGTGTTGCACCGTACACGAGGATTGAATTGTAAAGTCAAAGTTAAGTTTCATTTGGATCTATGCAAACACAGCAGAACGACCAAAATTAAAAATCTGAAAATATAGAATAAGTAAATAAAATCAAATATGGTTAAATCCGTAAAACTATTTTCCGATTAAACTGTAATAAATACAGTTGTTACAGTGCAAGCTTTCGTCTCATTAATATTGGATAAGTCTTTCCTCTGCTTCATAAAACAAATCAAATACCATTAAAGAATGCATTTTTCTCCCCAAGGTCAGAGCTTATACGGATGCCGGGTTCGGACCATATTCAGAGGTAGTTTCATCACCGTCCGATGAAATAAACCCGGTACCGAAAGTAATGCTATCTTCTCAAGAGTCAATAAGAATTTTCGATTTAGACTCCGGCGAAAGTGAAATTATACCGAAAAGCACGGGCAAGCCTGTTGACTTTGTGGTGTCCACAGAAGAAAATGTTGTGTACTGGGTTAATAATTTAGAAGAAATATTCTCATCTAGAATTAATGGCAGCGGTCACTACAAGGTAAATATTATTTTTATTATAAATGGTTTAGCTTTAAATTAATTAGATAGTGCATTTATAACTCAGAGCCACATACAAAAATTTTGTGAAGTATTAATGAATAAATATATCATATTATAAATAAATTAATATTATAAATTAATTCTTGTGATTATGTATGAAAAAAATGTATTTGGTATTTGTTATGTACACACACACACTCACTTCTATATTTAAAGTAAACTTTATTTTTCTTTTAACGAAAAATGATAGCTTTGTTGACAAAATATCTTCGCTAAATGAAAAGTTAGTAAACGCAAACCGAATCGCACCCAAACTTATTTTTATATTGTAATGTCATATATTTATATGCCTGAATCGATAACACATTTACGTGGTAGAGCCGTGCTGCAGCTATATTACTGGTATAGTTGTAGCACGAATGGGTCGGCTCGACTGGGGTAGGACCACACTCTCACAGAATACCAGCGTGAAATAGCAGCTTAACGCTGTTTCGTATGGTAAGTGTAGAGAACCGGAGACCCTTTTTACTGGAAATAAGGCATTCCATCTTAGTTCTCGCGGGCCACAACGCATATCGAGGAAAGATGTAGATGTCTTTTAAAAAAAAAAAGGTTTAGTCACATAAATTTATCCGTTTCAGTTAACGTCTATTAACGGCTCAGCTACAAGCATCTGTGTTGACTGGGTAGGTCGTTCAGTGTACTGGACCCAACATGATATTACTGCTACCGAATCTTACGTAACTTATCGGGCAGATTTGGGAATACCTAACACAAGACCCAAAATCTCACGAGTGTTTTCAAGAAAACAAGCCATTTATAGCCTACAAATTGCTCCTTTACACGGGTAAGTGTGAATTCAACTAGAATTAAAAACTAAAACTAAAAACTATTGCATTATATTTTTATGTTGTATGAATTAAGGAAATGTGTGGAATTCAGCTTTTTTATATTTGAAGCTTTTTTTTATGATCTCTCTCTCTCTCTCAGCCTGTAATCTTTTATATCATATCCAACTTGTTGGTTGAGCATAAATCTTGATACAATCAAGTGTCTCACCCAATTACCCATGTTTGGAAAAGAAAATGGCGACCCACCCGCAGTGTGTATGTCTGCACTAATAATTTTGAGCTACTTTCGACCTCATCCCTTAAATCACAAAACTATTAGACCTACACACATAACCTGACGTTTAAGTCTAATAAGGCCTTCTTGACACCTAGATTCCAAAGATATAAGTACCTAACCGATTATAGTACGAATGTCTAACGCGACGTAATGATATATGTTGAATCGGTGATCCGAAATTATTGAAATATTGGTTAGGGACTGAGCTAGATCCGATTAATTTACATGTCAATCAAGATAAGTTTTTATCATTATCATTATCATTACACCCCATAACAAGTCCACTGCTGGATATGACTTTAACATTTGTTAATTAAAATTAAAGTTACAGTATGTAAACACAGAACTTTACTCGAACTATATGAACTGTAACTTAATTTTTCTTTTATTATAAGTGACTTATATATTACTAAATCATTGTTTACTATATTATGATACAAAAAATATAACATTTATTTTACAGTCTAGTTTTATGATTTATCTGTATAAAAAGCATTGTCGGGCGGGTTTCTTTTCATTTAATAAGCTTATTAACACGGATTACACATGCAAGTTTCCTTACGTTGTTTTTAAGCTACATATAAATTGACTTACATAATATGTAAAATAACAATCATAATTTTGTCACTATGTAGGTATAAGTACGTTGTACTATTATTTATTCTGTGGTACAAGTTCAGGTCGTTAAAATGTCGCTTAAATTCCTAGCTCCTGGCCCTTAATTTACAATTGTCCTTCTTCTTCCGTCTTCTTCTTTATCAGCCCGTATAAGTCCATTACTGGACATGTGCCTCTCCCTTCGTAAAGATTTGCTTTTGAATTTTAAAATTATTGTTCGTTTACTAAACTAATTGAATATTTATTTTTATTAGGTCACTATTCTGGTATGAAGAAAGTAATCATCCAGGTTTAGGCACACTAATGACGTCAAAGGTGAATGGCTCGAACATACGTTCCTTTTTTGCCAACAATGAAGAAGATCCTGACTTACGCAGCAATTGCAATTGCCCTGAAAATCCCCAAGTCGCCAGAACGTTCGCTCTTGACATGACAAAAGATGATATCGAATTTTATTGGGTCGATCCTTGGGTGCACCAAATTGTAGCGACAGATATAAGGGCTTGCAAATGTAGGATAGTAGTGGATGCAGGAAAGAAAAAATATGGTTTCACTCCCATGGCCATCACTATAGATAGTAAATACGTTTATTGGTTTAATTCTACAGAAAAATCAATTTATTATACGAACAAACGTAGAAAAAGAGATATCGAACATGTGAAAGCTTCGTATGGCTATAAAATAATGACTTTAGATCCTGCAAATCAACCATATCCGCCAAGGCAATGCTTATTTCCGAAAGCGGAGAACCTGCTTCCAAAAGTTCTTTCAAACTCTGCCAATAGTATAACCCTACAGATGCCCAAAGTTGGTAAACCTAACTATTGCAATGATATCGAATATGAAATGACAGCAACTGAGTTTACGGTGTACTATCGTTTGCAAACATCAAATGATTCGACGACCTGTGACAAGGAAACTTGTCCGTATATAACAACCACGAATACTGAGTTAGTGCTCAATGAATTAAGCCCATTTACAAATTATACCGTGATGTTGGAAGCGACCAATTACTATGCAAAACTTCACGAGGTCAAACCTATTATTGGTTCCTCCTTAATTCTTCAAACGGCCGCTGAAGGTAAGTTTTCGTACAGTACTAAAATGCAGTTAATTATCTTTATAAAAGTATAACATACTTCCAAATAAGTGTGTTTTCGTATTTCGATAATAATTGTTGTTGTTTCAATTATTATACAAAATCTAATCATACTAAATTAATTAAATTTCATCTTTATTTCATGTAGCACCAACGCCACCTAGAGACGTCATTGGCATAGTTCTAAGTCCAGTGCTAGCGCGTGTGGAATGGACTCCAGACCCTGGCTTGTGGTACGAACTTCACTGGCGAACGGATGATTCATCTTCATTACCTCATAAATTGAAAGGTAATATCTTTATATATAAAAATTACGTGTCACGTTGTTTGTCCGCGATGGACTCCTAAACTACTGAACTGATTTCAATAAAATTTTGCACACTGCGTACAGTTTGGTCTAACTTGAGAGATGGGATAGTTTTTATCCCTATAAATGACCCTCAATATTTTTTATTAAGAATTTAAGAATTTTTTATAGGACAAAAAGTCGTCCGAGAGGGCAGAACGACGTCTGCCTGGCGAGCTAGTAGATTATAAATTGAAATATATTACGAATGAAATATATGCAGACTATACTCAAGTCTATACCTCTTTCAAGCCCATAAATACTGGGAAAGCTATACGGGACCTCAATGAAGATCTCGATAGAGTACTGAAGTGGTCAGAAAAAAATTATCTAGTGTTGAATGCGTCAAAGACGAAGTTTTTAATTCGTGATACTAAAATAAATTATTTTAATCCAAAATTAAATATAAAAGAAACTATTTTAGAAAGAGTGGGAAAGACCCGTAATCTAGGAGTTATAGTTAGCCCCGACCTCAGATTCGAAGAATACATTGCTGGTGTTGTTAGGAACTGCTTCTATCGGTTAAAAATCTTGTACAGGATACATGAATACGAGTATCTAAGTATCGAACAACGTAACAGGTTATCTGACGCACTTGTATTATCACAAAACTTAATTACGCTGACAGTGTCTACGGGTCATGTTTGTTGCCACGCACCGCACACCTTATTCAATGAGTCCAAAACGCTTGTGGAAGGTTCTGTTTTGTTGTGCCACCAAGGGGTCATATAAGACCATTCCTTAATAATAATAACATCCTTAAGAAGGCCGCAAGACGCAAATCCCACTTTGTTTGTGCTCTAAAGTATCTGTACTCTAAACTAGACTGGTGTCGTGAACACAATAAGTTTCTCACGTGTGTTTCCTCTCGCATATTAAGTGTCCCTCGACATAGTTCCTTGGCCTTCAGAGGTAGTTACAAATATACAGCCATCCACTGCTGGAATAATATGTAATATATTTATAAATAATTCCGAGCTGTGTTGTGACGCGTAAGTAGTACCCATTACACTATTTCATTCGGTAAATGCCGTAAGAGACGAATAAAGGTAATGCTCACAATTTAATATTTTTAGACGGCAATACAACCTTTAACTATTTACAAAAGCTGAAAAATATGCAAATATATTACAAGCTAATGAAAAGAAGGAGAACTTAATATAATATATACCACCAACATGTACCTATTTCCATAAATGTCTACCGATAACCATCAAGCTTACACAGGTTGGTTTTACTACACAATCTCCAAAATCCAGACTTTCTACCACTTTCCCGACATGGGTTTATTAAAAATGTTTTTAGTTTATTTTTTAAATATAAATGTCCCGTTACGTCACATTGTGATAAATATCAGTGTAAAATAGTATAATTCTGCTGTATTTCGCACAGTGAGTAGAGAGGACAGGAAACCTTTCTTCTTCTATTAATACCGAGACAATCCATCCTTTCGTTAAAAGTAGAATATTCCTTGATCTGTTTCAGCTCACGCATATCTACATTTTGATTCTTTACCGAGTGCAATGTGTGGCCGCGCTATGACGGCTTCATAAGGCGAGGATTTCCCACGTTAAAAGGCTTTTAGCGCTTCCTTCTCTGCTGTATGCATATTTGTCCAGCACGAAGTAAGCGTGCGACATTCGGTGGACAAAAAGTTACTTTATTTGAAATAAAGGATCTAAATAAAAATTTTGACGATTATGAATCTAATTCAATAACATGCCTTTCCTGTTGTCGATAAATATTATAATACGGTGATCGCTTAAAAAATAAGAACTCGAACGCCAAAGATTAAATTATAATTTTTTTAATCTTGATTATTTCATGTATGCGCAATTTATTTCCGAACATATAGTATTTAAAGAAGTATCATTTCTCGAGCGTCATAATCGTGTCTAAAATACAATATTTTTGTCCTACCCAAATACTTGTATGTAATCGTAAACTACCTGACCAGCAATTCAGAACAGAACGTGTCACAGCTATGGATCGCGGTTACGCGTATTGTATATCTGTAAGGTATACAGATATACAATACGTGTAGCCGCGATCTCCTCCTAAACGGTTGGACTTGATGAAATTTTGTGCGTATGATTACGTTGATTTGAAAATGTTTTATATTCGCAATTGGACCCGGTAGGTGGCGCTGTTGTCGCGATCCAGAAATCGCCCGTGCGAATCTGGGGTGGATCGTTATTTTAAAATATCTGTAACGTAAGTCCAATGTCGGCAGAGCACAACACGTTCGAGGTGTCGGAGGGGCGGAGCGCGAACATGAGCCGGCTGAGCCCCGGCACCGCGTACGTGGTGTGGGTGCGCGCGCGCTCGGCGCACAGCGCGCTGGCGGCCGACTCGCCGCCGCTGCGCCTGCGCACCTTCCCGCCGCCCGCGCCGCTCGCGCTGCGCCGCGCCCGCGCCTACGACCTGCAAGTGCTCTGGCCGCCGCCCACCGCCTACCAACTGCACCAGTCAGTCTCCGTTATTCTTGACTACTAACCGTGAGCCACCGTACACAGAAACAATCTAGGTCAACCGACAGATTCAACTCGGCTGGGCAGCGTTCGGCGATTACGACACGTCTTCTCGTTATGCATACATCAAAACTTGTTAAATAATAATACAAAAGTGTTCAACCGGTGATAACACATGGAACCGAGACGTGGTCACTATTAGCCGTATGGGAAAGTTCAAAATCATTCCGCAAGCTATGAAGAGGACCATGGTCGGAATTTCTCTAAGTGATCGGATTCGAAATCAAAATACATGCAGTAGAACTTCATCCATAAAAAAAAATAAGATATAAACAACCCTACTTGAAAGTTACTGCCAATTTTAAACTGTAAGAGTAGACTGTAGGTAAATCTATAATTATTCGAATCTCTAAAAAAGTCAAATAAATGCTTAATAAACTTATATGACTTTTTAACGCTGTGCTCTAAAGTATTTTAAGTACATTGCATTACTGGAATAAAAAATTTAGCTACCGAGTTAAAGTTTTATTGCAATAAATTCTATTTGGATTTCTTAACATACTGCTTTGTCATATGTTAAATTAAAATCACGGAATCTCATTACAGGTATAAAGTAGAATACGCAGAATCGTCGATGTCGAAAGATTTGTGGAAGATGTGTGTGCAGAGTGAGCGCGACGAGTGGACCGCAAGTGGTTTAAGACCACGGACTCGGTATCGCTTCCGTCTTCGCCTGCAATACGTCGCACACGCGCCTCCGTATCACTGGCCACATGATGACCGCTTTACTTTCGAAACTCTTGGTAAATAATGTATTTTGATTTTTAATTTATAACATTTTTCCTCGTGATGGTTACTACAGTCGTTTTAGTGAAAGCTAAGAAAAGACTTATAGCCTCTGACAGACTTCGGATGAACTTTCTCGATTGCGCCAAACCTTAAGTACTCCAACAGTTAATAAGGAACTGCATCTGTAACGTATGATACTTAAGTAAAGTCTGTCAAGTATGGTGATTAAGACAAAACATATCGCCTTAGGATGACATAGCAAACAGAAAATATTATCTTGTAATGTTAAGATTTATCGGGAATGTAAAATCCGAATGATGATATATTTATCAACTTCACTGGCATATGCAATTATTGTACTAGTGCGTTTTATGATTATTATTATAGATGATATATCTACGAAATTGTTTTAAAAATAAATTTTGAAATTGACGTTTTAACGTGGTAATAATGTTCAATAGGAGACGTCCCGGGACCACCTGGACCACTACGGATAGAAGCAGTGGGAGATAAAGTACTTCGCGCCTGGTGGTCGGAACCAGACCCCAGAGGATCACCGGTAACTGCCTACCGCGTTTGGGGACGACCACAACACCGGTAAATAAATAATTAAATAGATCAGACGCCATGATATGAAATTGTTAAATCAATAAAAAACCCAGCCTATTTAATCATGTTAAATTTTTGAGATATGGTATTTTGTTGTCATTAAGGTTTCACAAAACTGTTAACGTAAGCATAATCCTATAAAACCGCAACGTGATTAATAAACACAGTTTGCACACACATTTGTTCAGGGATACAAATGCCGAGGAAAGTAATGTGAAAAATCTCAGTGAGTTACTGCCTGCTGATTTGCCGAGCGACATTGATGATGAAATGAAAATGCTCATTTTACGTGAAGGCCTGGAGTTGCTTCATAATGGAACTGGTGAGTATGTGACATATTGTTTTAATTCAATTTTAAGGAATTCCATTTCGTTACAATTTAAACAAAAGCTTATGACTTGACTGCAACAGGAGGTTATTATTTTCGACTGATATTTTGTGTGTATAATATGTATGTTCATTTGTATACCTGCCCGTAACTAATATACCGGTCATCAATAGTCATTGTATTTTAACAAATTATCTATCAATGTAACTAACTGTGAGTAACATTGGAGAAAATAATTTCTCTAAGCGAGTAGAGTTCTTCTAATTTAAAACTGCACGCCGTTTCTATTGTGTTTTACTAGATAAAGGTAATAAAATCTACTAAAAATATAAGGAAGGTGCGCATGAACTGTCAAATACTTGAAACAATATTCAAAAGTATCGTGTATGTTATCACCAGTAGAGTAGCGTGCCTTAGAGGGGCCCTGTATAAACATTTGTCGGGGGGCCCAAATGAAGGGTAAATATTTTTCACAAAAGGAACAAAAGCTCTCGCATTAAAGTAAAATAATTATATATTGATTATAAGTTATTACTTACAATTAATACTCCGTTAGCCAAACAATTCAAACCAACATCCTGTCCCATAGAAGTCCTTAGAATTTTTGCTCACATACGTTCAGGGCCTCTGTAGCCCGGTGGCCCCGTATCATTGATACGGCTGATACGGCGGTAGCTACGCCCCTGGTTATCACATGAACTGGTTCACAGTTGACCAACATGCAGGTTGTTCTGCCGAACGAAGTTATTAGTGTGGTCGTTTATGCGAACGGGTTAATCCCCGTCAGCCTCTCAGGTCATCCGAGGCGACTGGGTTTCCGTGATGAATTTTAGTAGTGGATCTATGGCATACGCGTTTTATCGGATACGAGGAAAATAGAACGACTTAGTGGCTCAGCATTTCCACGTACGCACGGCTTATGCCGGAAAGCCGTTACCGTGGTGACGGAGTAATAGAGTTTTATTTTATACTATGTCATTGTGGGTGTCGTAAGAGGCGATGGAACGAAACTCAAAAAGGAGATGTGCAGCTTCCTGATAATAACTTATTTTGAGTAATAAGAAACTGCAATTGCAACCCGCCTGCCAATGGTGGCAACTATGACAAATTTCCGCCATATGAAACAATTTTTGGGGGAGGTCTATGTTCTGCTGTGGACTTAGATAGATTGCAATAAATAAATTAATTAAATGGAAAGCACAACACGAAACATACACGTCATTGGAGTTCCAATCAAATCCAATTCTGAATGTCCACTGCTGAAAATAGGCCTCCCCATTGATTGATTTGTTATTTTAGTTTCTTTATTGAGTGTACATATATAGCAACAAATGATATGTTATGCCGTGTAGTGGCGGTCAAGAATATCCACTACCCCATATCCTCCCGTGGGTGTCGTAAAAGGCGACAAAGGGAAACAGGCAGGAGATGGGCAGCAGCATCTTCTTGATAACAACAAACTAACAATAAAAAAACTGCGGTTGCCAACCCGCTCGCCAAGCGTGGCAACTATGGCAAATACCCCCCTATGAATGACAGTAACAAAGAAACGGCCCCCAGTCCCCGGCGGCCCCGCTATTCCTGGCTACGGTGGCGACCATGGTAACGGCGGGGCAGGGGGTGCTAAGAATCTCCGGTGGAGGTTCGGATGCCACCTTAGACGACTCGACCTGGCAACGTACAACGCACGCACCCTGAGGACTGACGAGAAGATTGTGGAGCTGGAAGAAGAGATAAACAAGTTGCGCTGGCATATTATAGGATTATCCGAAGTCCGAAGAGAGGGGGAGGACACGGTAATCCTCGAATCCGGCAACTTGCTCTATCACCGGGAGGGCGACCATCTGTCCCAAGGAGGTGTCGGATTTATCGTCCACAAGTCTCTCGTTAACAACGTTGTAAAGATCGGGAGTGTGTCGACGAGGGTTGCGTACCTTATACTCAGAATCACCAAACGGTATTCGCTGAAGGTCATACAGGTTTACGCACCAACCTCGGCACACCCCGATGAGGAGGTGGAGGAAATGTATGAGGATATCTCTAGAGCCATGCATTCCTCCAAAACCCAATATACGGTGTTAATGGGAGACTTCAACGCAAAACTAGGCACAAGAGAGAACGGTGAGCTGAAAGTAGGGAAATTTGGAATAGGGCAGCGGAAACCAAGGGGCCAGCAGCTGGCCGACTTCATGGAGAAAGAGGGACTCTTTATGATGAACTCTTTCTTCCAGAAGCGGCCCCACAGGAAGTGGACCTGGTCGAGCTCCGACGGTTCGACAAAAAATGAGATTGACTTCATTATGACGACCAGACGACAACTGTTCAGTGATGTCTCCATGATCGCGAGGGTGAAAACTGGTAGCGATCACCGAATGGTTAGAGGCACACTGAACCTAAACGTTAAGTTGGAGAGGTCTCGTCTAATGAAGTCAACGCTCCGTCCCCCTCGTGCTCTAATCCAAAGTCCCGAAACCTTTCAGCTCGAGTTACAAAACCGTTTTCAGTGCCTAGAAGACTGCAATGAAGTGGACGATTTGAATGACAAGCTCGTGGAAACTGTCCATGCGGTCGGAGCTAAGTTCTGCAAGACCCGCCGCAGAAGAACACAAAAACTCTCCGATCACACTCTTAATCTCATGGCTGTTAGACGGGAGATGAAGCTACATTCTTCAACAGACTTGACAGCATACAGGCATCTGAACAGACAGATCTCCAAATGCATGCGGCGGGACTTACGCAACTTCAATATAGCTCGTATTGAAGAAGCGATCGAGCGGAACCAAGGCTCCAAAGTCTTTGCCAGAGATCTGTCTGCCAGAAAGAGCCAACTGTCAAAGCTGAAGATAGAATGTGGCAGCATCGTTTCCGGGACACCTGAGATTTTGAGTGAGATTGAGAGGTTCTATGGGCAGTTGTACACGTCATCGTTGGAGCCACACGCAAGTGTGAGTAACGATCCAAGAGCGAGTCTCATCCGACACTATTCCGAAGATATTCCGGACGTCAGTCTGAGCGAGATTAGAATGGCTCTCAAGCACCATAAAAACGGTAAGGCCCCAGGCGAGGATGGAATTACAGCGGAGCTTCTGAAAGCGGGTGGAAAACCGGTACTTGAAGTCCTTCAGAAGCTCTTTAATTCCGTCCTCCATGGTGGCATTACACCGGAGGCGTGGAGCAGAAGTGCGGTGGTCTTGTTCTTCAAGAAAGGTGACAACGCTCTCTTGAAGAACTACAGACCGATTTCCCTTCTGAGCCGCGTCTACGTGCTGTTTTCGAGAGTCATTACGTATCGTCTCGCGCGCAGACTTGACTTCCAGCCTCCCGAACAAGCCGGTTTCCGAAAGGGCTTTAGCACCATAGACCACATACATACCCTTCGGCAAATTGTACAGAAGTCCGAAGAGTACAATTTGCCACTATGTCTGGCGTATGTGGACTATGAGAAAGCCTTTGATTCCGTCGAAATTTGGGCAGTGCTGCAGTCCCTTCAGCGGTGCCAAGTTGACTGTCGGTATATCGAAGTGTTGAAGTGCTTGTACAGTAAGGCTACGATGGCTATCCGAGTACAGAACCAGAGTACGAAACCTATCCAATTGCAGAGAGGTGTAAGACAGGGTGACGTCATATCCCCGAAACTCTTCACCGCTGCATTGGAAGACGTTTTCAAGCTTCTGGACTGGAAAGGATACGGTATCAATATCAATGGCGAGTACATCACTCACCTTCGATTTGCCGACGATATAGTCCTTATGGCAGAATCGCTAGAGGACCTAAGCACTATGCTCAATGACCTCAATAGTGTTTCCCAACGGATAGGTCTTAAGATGAACATGGACAAAACAAAGATCATGTTTAATGTCCATGTCACACCTATGCCGGTAGTTGTTGGGAACACTAAGCTCGAAGTTGTTGACGAGTATGTTTACCTGGGACAAATAGTCCGACTAGGTAAGTCCAACTTCGACCGAGAGGTCAATCGACGGATTCAACTCGGCTGGGCAGCGTTCGGGAAGCTAAGACACATCTTCTCGTCAGACATTCCTCAAAACCTTAAAACGAAATTGTACAACCAGTGCGTGTTGCCAGTGATGACTTACGGAACTGAGACGTGGTCCTTCACTGCTGGCCGGATGAGAAAGCTCAAGGTCACTCAGCGAGCTATGGAGAGGGCTATGCTCGGAGTTTCTCTGCGTGATAAACTTAGGAATGAGGATATCCGTAGTAGAACCAGAGTAACCGACATAGCCCAACGGATTAGTAAGCTGAAGTGGCAGTGGGCCGGCCATATAGCTCGAAGAACCGACAACCGATGGGGAAGAAAGGTTCTCGAGTGGCGGCCTCGTACCGGTAGGCGAAGTGTAGGGCGTCCCCCCACGAGATGGAGTGACGACCTGGTAAGACATGCAGGAAGTCGATGGATGCTGGTGGCTCAGGACCGTGCTTTGTGGCATTCTTTGGGGGAGGCCTATGTTCAGCAGTGGACTTGTGAAGGGCTGTAATGATGATGATGATGATGATGATATGTTTTGCCTTAAAACTAAAGTGACAAACGTATTACAGTCCACCTAATTGTAAAGTGATCACTGCAGTCTACAGACTCATGCAATCAACTTCGAATAAGGAAGACTAGAGATGCGTTGTTACCTCTGAAGACGTTAGTACAGTTATGTGGTAAAGCTATGCTGCAGCTATATTATGATTGTATCACGAATGAGTTGGCTCGACCGGGGAAGGTTCTTACAGAATACCAGCGTGAAACAGCAGCTTAATGTAGATCCCTTTTTAATTGTAAACGCAGAATTCTATCTTATTTCTCAGAGGTGATAACGTATTTCTATTTTGATTCTCAATTGGCGATAGATGTGGATGTCTATGGGCTACAGCTTCCATTTACCATCAGGTGGACTGTGTGCTCGTTTGTCACCCTTATTATAAAAAAAATCAGGGTATAGCTGTCTCGTGGAAACGGCCGTTTTACATAAATACTGTGTACATAACGAAATGACCTCAAAATGGCATTGCTTCCCCCTTCCCCGCGCGTGATGCATCACAGTCTTCATTTAAAGTAACGTATCCTTTAGCTATCGATTGGTGTAATTAACTTTTGGATGTAGATTAAAGATATATATTTTTATCGTGAGTTTTTTGAGTTACCTCCCACTGTGTAAGCAAATTTAGAGATATATTCAGGTTAGAACTTAGATGGAATGACTCGCATAACCTGTGGAACAGCAGCGTAGGCACTTCTATTTGGCGGCACAAAAACCTGAGAGGGTGGGAACTACAGACGGACTCCTAAATGAAAAGGAGTCCTAGTACCTAGTTACCGCTATGATTACGGCCCATACGAGAGATGTTATGAAATTGCAGAGACGTACTGGCTGATCGGCGCGGGCGAGGTGTCGCAGGGCTACGTGGCGCGCGTGCAGGCGCGCAACGAGTACGGGTGGGGCGCGCTGTCGGCGGGCGCGGCGCTGTCGGGCGCCGAGCTGGCGCGCGCGCACCCCTTCGCGCTGGCCGCCGCGCTCGCCGCACTCGCCGCGATCGCCGCCCTCGGGCTCGCTGCGCTCCTCTACAGTCAGTACTACCCGCACCTTCACCAACACGCACACACCCCACTATCTATATATACTAATATAGTCTTTGAGTTGTAGCACGGTGAGAATAACAGCATACAGTTTGACGCACGGAGCAAATACAAAGAGGAGACGGCGTAAGCAACTGTGCACTGTGATTCTAACTAGGTCCTGACGTCATCAGTGGGCGTAGCTTTTGTTGCTTAGTATACTATCAGCATTCGTTCCGTGCGCTTATGTGTCGAAACTCGCAAATCGGTGTATTTTCGTAGTATTAAGAAGAAAAGGATGAAGTGTTGTGTTTTATCGTGTAAAATCTACTCAGACAGACGCTCTGATGCTATCATGGATGTATCACGGATGGCATCACATTTGTAAGTAATTTTATACCTAAGTGATTAAAATAGTTCTAGAAAAATCTTTGCGTCGGTTTTCAAATATAATTAAATATATCCGACACTAGATGGCAACACTTGTGTCTATCGTCAATGTAGCTAAACTAGATTGCATCATCGATATGGCGCGATGCGAGTAGTTTTACTATTTATCCGTTGATAGAAAATAGTTAAGTGGGCGAGGCTTAACACTCCCTTACCCCGCAAATAGTCACGCGTTGTTACATAGTGAAATCTAATTACAACACCTCCTCTTTGTATTTGCTCCGTCGTTTGGCGTGTCTAGAGATGGAACAATGTTAAATCTATTTAGCAAATGGCGATGAACTATTCACAAAGCAAATGAAAATTTATCAATTAGCTATCGACAAAAAAATTAAAACTGGAACAACTTTATTTTAATTACAATGCGCATGAAAAAACAACGGGCTCTGCGGCCTCAATACATTGCGCACTAAGTTAAGGTGAATTCTCCCTAACTCCTATAGTCGAATTCTATCGGGCGAAAAAGCTTATTCTTTGTTTAGTAAAGTTTTTAAAAAGTTAAGTTAAAAGTTTTTACCAATCTAACACTCTTTTTTTGTAACTTTGTGGACGTGATTTGAAGTTTATTTGTGACTAGCTGTGCCCCGCGGATTCATCTGCGTGTAACACGCGCTTGAGCCGCGCGATTTAACATGACACCTAATTCAATCAATGTAGATAGCAACGTATAGAAAAATTGGCAAAATTTGTGGAGTGAAAAATGAGTGTATCTACCGCGTGAGCGTCAACCCCTCCCCCCCCCCCCCGGCTTTTTTCAGTTTTTAAGGAAAAGTACTTAGTTACTCCATAAATTTTTCCAATTTTTTAGCAAAAATATGTGAATTAACCTCGCTCATAGATGCGTTCATTGTTGGTTCATCGGCCGGCTAGTGTTTATGCGTAGATCATGCGCCGAACTGAGTGTTGAATGAATTATTTAATTTTTTTTTATCTCATGTACTATGCGTCCAAATAACATGATATTAAGAGCATAGTTTATCTTCATATAAAAAAAATTAAAAATTTTGTACAGCCGACTTCAATATAAGTTATTAAGAATAACTCAAATAACTCAAAAACTATTGGTCTGACCTTGATCAAATTCATATGGGACCACACGAGAAGTATCAGCTTTCATATAAAAAAAGAATCATCGAAATCGGTCCAACCAGTAAAAAGTTATGAGGTAACACACATAAAAAAAAAACATACGCGTCGAATTGAGTACCGTCTCCTTTTTGGAAGTCGGCAGAAAATTGTCTTGATGATGAAGTAACTTTCGTTTGTAAGGATTAATATGATATGCCTATTAATAACGCCCGTAAATCACTTTTTAATTTTCAATCATTTTTTGACACAAAATACCTTATTGCATAAGATATAGACATATGTTATTAGGGACTTTTTTTTAGATGGAGTTAAGATTTACATTTTTGTAAAACATTGTATTTACGTATCACTAACCATTACGCCCGCGCACGCGGATAAATTATTTCGAGAGCGCTTTTTCTTCCGACTTGCTTAACAAAGATCAAATATATAATAATGCTAGCTGAGATGTGTAGCCTAATGCCAGATAGAATATACAAAAATAATTTTTCAAATCGGAGTTCTAATAGTTCCAGAGATTAGCGTGTTTAGCGTTAGCAAACAAAAATCTCTTCCCCTTTATTATATTATAATATAGTATAGATAAATACCTATGTAACTTTATTTCGTATTTACCTAAAAATATAAAATCGTAAATGAAAATACAACTGCGTGGTATATTTACCGTGTTGTGGGCATCCTCGCAAAAGAACACTTCTTCAAGATTCTTTCCAAGAATGATTTGCTAGGCTATTGAAATCGAAACAAAAAATATCATAATTTCAATAGAGATGATGGCTGGATGCTACCATCTACTTGAGATCCTATCCTACAATTAATAAAATTAAATCCCTACCCAAGCATACAACGGCAAGCTCCTTCTGGGTAAATCAAACGAAAAATTAATAACTTTAAACTGAAAGTAGCCGTGTAGTGGCGTTATAATATCCACTACCCCATATCATCCCGTGGGTGTCGTGGTAACTGAAGGTAGCTGTAGTGAACTATGACATTGGGGCGTCGCACGTTTCAGTCCCCCCGTGACCATATTTCGTAACACTTACTGTGTCTTAAACTATTCAGCGGCAGTATGCTTGGGTTTAATTTTGATTTTATTAATTACAAGTTCCCAAGCAAATGATAGTACCCAGCCTTCTCTATCGAAATTAGGGAGTTTTATTTTTTATTTCAAATAGCCTCACGTATAATCTTTGGTAGAAAAGGATGTTTTTTCGGGAGGATTTGTTGTCTATCAAATCTGATGTAATGGCGAGGGCTGCCTAGGATATGACCACAAACTGCAGATTTCCCGAAGAGTTGGTGTTTCACGTCAGCTATATATTAACATAGCATAATTAGTGTAAATAAAATTAATAATTCCGTATAAACTAGTTTGATTTCAAAAATATACGCAACTTTAAAATCTCATAATATAGTACCTATAGCAAGATCGACAGGCCAGAGCCCACCATCGCGCACCTTGTCTCTAGTGTGAGGCACGTGGCAGCCACCAACCTTCTAATTAATTACAATATACAAACGAAAATATGTGTTTAGCTATGTATAATATGAATGATTAAGTTTAGTCGCACAATAGTAGAGAGACACTTTGCTAAGAATTCTTGTTACTAAGGTATTTAAAACATTGCCTACTACTTTTTACAGCATACAAAAATCGCAATAAGAAAAAAGCTGCCATCGAAAATCAAATAACAAGTGCCACGCCTAGAAGAGGTCCTGACGTTGAACTCGCCACGTTACGCCAACTGCCCATCAGACATTCCACGAACATACTGTATAACCAGGTGAACTCAATACACCTATTTGATTATCTTATATGGAAGAAAACTCCACATAATATTATTTCTTACCCGTCTCGCCTAATACTTATAGATTATCTCCTTGACACTATGCACGATAAGTTAATAATTTACATATATATATAATATATAATCGACATTGCGTCTCACAGAACACAGAAAAGGTGCGTCTTTTAGTAATCGTGTAACTTCTGAACAACTTGACCGATCGATGTCATATTCACAAAATATATTAGTTTTGCTTTTGTCAGAACAATGGTTCATAGCTATACTAGAATCCGATAGGCACCTATCAGATTAGTTATTAACAAATTCTATACCTTATAAACAAATACCTTATAAAACTTCTAATAATAACTACATACTCTTTTTATAATATAAATATATCCGTCTTTTTAAATCTACTGCTTCAGATATTATGCCTTTCCCAGAATACGCCTGCTGGCTTATATAACTTAAAAGAGTTGAAAATACTTACTGTGGGCATCTATTGAAGTTGTTCCATCTGACATCCCAAACAATTTAAAATAAATAGATAACCCTTAATAAAAATGTCATTCGTGTATAGGGTGCGATAAGTCCTACGGAGGCAGAACTGTCAGCTTTGCCTCACGTGCGTCGCGAACACATAACGTTGAACAAGTTCCTAGGCTCGGGCGCGTTTGGAGAAGTGTTCGAGGGCATCGCCAGGCAGCTCAGTAACGGCGCCGCGGAAACCAAGGTCGCTGTTAAGGTGAGAAATAGAAACTATATACCTCCTAGAGATATGTTACCAAAACCAGTTAGATTATGTTACCAAACCCATCACAAAAATGGCAAAATTAAAGGAAAAAGAAGTATATATTCTACTATGAACAAGAATTGTTTTTTAGAACCTAGGACCGTGACGTGGTAACCACATAATATTATTACTAGACGACGCAGTCATTATGCAGATACTAAAATTAAAATATTTATACAGACTCTCAGAAAAGGAGCGACTGAACAAGAAAAGAGTGAATTCCTAAAAGAAGCCGCCCTGATGTCAAACTTCAAACACGAACATATTTTACGTCTGTTGGGCGTGTGCCTTGACAACGATCCTAACTACATCATCATGGAACTCATGGAGGGAGGAGATTTGCTAAGCTACCTCAGAGCTAAACGAGCCTCATTGGTTAGTACTTTGCAGATACTCTTGTTATAACGTTAATTTCCGTCCTTTTAGTAAATTTAAATTTGATATAATTCGAACTGTAAATTGCCGAAGATTTGAGTAGTTTGTTCACTGTTCTGCTAGGAGCATCAGGTCAAGTGTACCATTTAGGCCTCCATCCGATGTCTGCATAGTTCGATAAGCTACCTTTCTCGCACGTATGGCTACGCATAAGACTTTTTGTCGTATTCATTTGTAAACTTTATTCACATCTGGGAATTGTTTAAAACCGCTAAATTCGTCTGGCGATTCGCAGGTATTATTAAAAATTACTCAATAAATACGTGATTAAAATTTGAGATTGCCAAAAGTATATTTTTTAGGAACTTAAAAAAATATATTTGGAGAAGTCTGGTAATATTTTATAACCGACAAAAACGTCTGGGATTATTTTTTTGGAATTATATAAAAACTAAATTAAAAAATAAAAAATAAATCAAGTTGCCAAAAACACATTTTTTTGGATTTTTTTTTTGCAAATGTTATATGCTGCGCAGTAACGAAATAATCGCAAACGCTCTGACAGACTCGCAGGACTGGATTCGCCAAATGACTAAATTATATTTTTTCACAATTTCAACTTGCTCAAAGGACCTTCCCAAAATTCGTCGCCAGCTCTCAGACTAATAGGCTATAACTTTACTTTACTTTTTTTATTTTTATGCATTGCTAAAACCATGAAACAATCAAACTAACCATAATAAAACGTTTCAGTATACGCCAGAATCACTAACTCTTCTGGACTTATTAAACATGTGCGTGGACGTGACAAAAGGCTGTCGTTATTTAGAAGAAATGCATTTCGTCCACCGAGACCTGGCCGCTAGAAACTGTTTGGTAGCTCATAGAGCTGGAGGAAGAGTCGTCAAGATCGGTGACTTTGGGCTTGCTAGAGATATTTACAAGAACGACTATTACAGAAAGGAAGGCGAAGGTAAAAATATTTAGATTTGTGTGTAATGAGAGCGTTTAATTCAACTGTTTGAATTCTCTATGGTGTTGTAATTGATATGAATGAAAAATTTATAAACCACAAATAAACTGGTCGAATAATAATTATTTTAATAATTTTTGTCATTATCTTACCAAATAATATTTTTTTTTATCTTATTTTGTTATTATAGGGTTGCTGCCTGTACGGTGGATGGCTGTGGAATGTTTAGTGGACGGCGTTTTCTCGTGTCAGTCCGACGTATGGGCTTGGGGTGTGCTATGTTGGGAGGTAAGCAACACTCATTTGGGGGGGGGGGGGGATTCCCAAATGCTTTATATTGCAGTGGTAAACTATATTTTGCTATTCAGTTACCTGGATAGGTATTTTTTTTAAATAGACAGTAGGTATGAGGTGCTGTTTTTTCTTTAATATTTTTTGTTTATAGTTTGTAAAATACTTTCTTCATTTGGTAAAACATAAATACTTATATGTTGTTTAATATTATAAATTATTATCATGATATTTGATTTTTGCGAAACTCTTCCACTTCATATTTTCATTCACAAGACTGTAGGTAAGTATTGACATTTTTTCTGTTAAGTCGTGTTAAATTAAACAGATTTAAATAAGTTAACTGCAACATCTTTACAAAAACAAATAATTAGGTAGATCGTTCGCGTTTCCACAGTTATATCAGAATTACCAGGAAACGTTTTCTTTTTATGCAAACGTTTTCGCTGGCTCAATACACACCCTGGTAATTTGGTGTGATGTGTATGGTGTGAATCATGAATGTGTTTATGTTTGTTGGCAGGTGCTGTCTCTGGGCCAGCAGCCGTACCCGGCGCGCACCAACCGGCAGGTGCTGGGCTACGTGCGCGCCGGCGGCACGCCCGACCGCCCGCCCAACTGCCCGCCCCAACTGTGCGTACCTCGTACCTTGCCTACTCTTACATATCTACCGCTAAAGTCGCGTTAAATCACATCACATTCAACTTTAGTGATCTAAGCACATTGTAATGAAAACTTGGATGATTTAAGAAGGAATTACCTATAATAACATAAAAGCATGTGCCGACTGTGTAATCATATCGTAAAAGGCGACTAACGGGATATTAGGTTTGTGATTGTATAGACGAAGGGTCAGCCACCTATCATTTCTTTCATAATTTTATATCTATAGCCATATTTTAATGTGAATACGTCTTTAAATTTACTTCTATAGTGGAAGCCAATTCATGAAACTGATGCTAACAAACTCAGAAGCTATATCATCTACATTCAAAATTAAATTACATCACTTAATAGCTAAACGATCAATGAATTTTTTGTGTTAAGTGAGAACTGTGAAGCATCGCGCGCGACGCCACGTGCGCCACCATTTTGAGTTAATTTCGTTACGTACCTACACGTATTGACGAAAACACATTTTCATTTCCACGACATAGCCACACCTAAATTTTTAAACGAGGTCTGAGTGGCTCGCTACTATTTAGGCTCTGCCTACTCCCTCGGGGATAACATAATATCTTATTTTGTAATAGAATAAGATTGAATTACGAGCACACAGTCCACCTGATGGTAAGTGGATTCTGTGGCCCATAGACATCTACATTTATCCTCGATTAAGAATCAAAATGCATATGCGTTGTCACCCCTGAGGACTGAGATAGAATGTCTCGTTTACAGTACAAAGGGGTTCTCTACACTCACCATACGAAATACAACAGCATTAAGGTGCTATTTTACACTGGTATTCTGTCGGGCCGACCCGTTCGTGCTACAACCATAATAATATAGCTGCATCATGGCTCATACCATGTATGTAATATGTATGTATGTAATATGTATGTATGTAATATGTATTTTAACATACATACATGTTACTATGTATGTAACATGTATGTATGTTAAAAAAATAATTTGACAGGTACGAGTTGCTGCAAAAGTGCTGGAGCTACAACGCAGAGGCGCGGCCGTCCTTCCGGCAGTGCCTGGACGTGGTGACGGCGCTGCGAGACGCCACGGCGCCGCGCGCGCCGCTCGCCGCGCTGCCCGCGCCCGCGCCCGCGCAGTACCTCACGCTGCTGCCCGACGGTGAGCACTCGGGGTGCCAATTTAACCCTTATTATTACACTATAATAGAGCATCTTTTTGATCGCCTGCAAATATAACCTATTCGTGCAAAATCATTTTATGTTCTATGTATTTCATACAATTTTATTTGACCCACCTCAGTGAAACTAGCTCACGTTGTCGGCACGTGGTGTAAAATTTTTAATATGAGTTTTACATTAATAAATATCGATGAGGAAAATAGTGATTTTTAATGACTGTGAGATGGACTAGCGTCAACGTAAAAGCAAGCTACCGAGGTCTATACCTAATATCCAAAATATTATAGTATTTACAATAAAATAACAACTGTTTTTTTTATTTATTGAAATATTAATGCCGGTAAATGATAATAATATTAATGGCGGTAGGGGGGCCATCTCTTGAACAAAATGTGTAAAAATTGTGTAGTGCTCTTGTTGGTTATGAAATGCCGCAAGTATCAACGTAAAATCAAGCTATTGAGGACTTTCACACTGTCCGTTACACGCGTTTTTTTCTTCTTTACATTAGCATATATACGTGGTAGAGCCATGCTGCAGCTATATTATGGTTGTAGCACGAATGGGTCGGCTCGAGCGGGGAAGGACCACGCTCTCACAGAATACCAACGTAAAATAGCAGCTTAACACTGCTGTGTTTCGTATGGTGAGTGTCGATAACCGGAGACCCTTTTTACTAGAAACGAGGCATTCCATCTTAGTCCTTACGGGTGACAACGCATCTGCATTTTGATTCTTAATCGAAGATAGATGTAGATGTCTATGGGCCACAGCAACCACTTACCATCAGGTGGACTGTGTGCTCGTTTGTCACCCTTATCCCATAAAAAAAGCTTAACAAACCAACTCTTTATTTTCAGATTTCATAATTCCGGTTACATTTTCATCAAATCTTTAAGCCGTTTACTGTGTAATAATATTAAGTTACGTTACAACTTCTAGTGGGCCCAAAAACGATTGTTTGCTTTGAAACAACAATTCATAAGGTTTACCCTCTTTAATAATACCTACCGTTCTCATAACACCCTCTTTCAGTGCTTGCACTGCTGTGTTCCAATCTGAGACTTGTACGAAGCGAGTATGTCACAAGCTGTTAGGTAGAACTCATAGGTGACAACGCATCTGCAGCCTCCTTTGTTTGAAGTTGGCTGCAGGTGTCCATGGACTACAGTGACCATCAAGTTTACTTTAAGTTCGTTTGTAACTTCGGTTATATAAAAAATAAAATTTATTTTATGCATGAACTATAAACAGCATGAGAATACTGAAACGGATTATGTATATTATTAATTTTTCGATATTAATATCTATTACGGATCGCCGTAATGCCGTGCGAAAAATGGAATAAAACGCGCTGGTCTTGCTTTTAACTGGAGGCAAGCGGCGGTGAGGAGGAACTTGTACTTTTTCTTTTCTTGCTGGTGCCTTTTCGGTGGCTGGAGAGCGACTGCTGACCCTAGCGGCCGGCCCGTCTTTTATATGATTTGGCCGCTGCTGGCCAGCGGACCCTTGCCTCACCCCCGCGCCTATCTTTATTTATTTAATAACCTTACAAACTAATAAACATAATTCACTATATAATATTCTTATAACTACTTGTTAGACTAGGGTGTACATATCAATATTTTTACTTATTTACAGGTTTACATTATAATTTTCAGCTGCTTTAGGCGGAGAATCCTTCCCCCCGCCTCAGCACTATAAATATAAAACGTCGTGGCGCGGTGCGCGTGGCTTCATTTGCTCCGCGGCCGCGTCACGATAACATGCTCTTTGGTTACACTACTACTATTTTTTTTATGTGCCTAACGGCCTAATATATTTATTATATAATAAAGTAAACATTTAACAATTATAGTTTTCATTAGAAGACTATGCTAACTCTCCCTGTTCATACGGTGCCTTTATTTGGGAGAGTTATTGCACAGTTACAACTCAACCTTAAACTTAGTTATAATACAATCATTATTTTTTATCGTTCGATACAAGTAATACAATTATTTACACAAATTATAATTTAAATTCAACATAAGGTTGCGCTAGTTCCGCCGTATAACCCTTGCTAGTTGTCGAACCAGAGGCGTGGCCTGATAATTACACCGTCGTCATGGCTCCGCCCACCGCTCCTAGGTTGTTCAACTAGCGCCGGTTACAATAAGCATTTTCTTTCGTTTGTTTAATATTGTTGTGTCGTGCACATTCTCCCGCCGTCGCCACGCTGCGATCCCTCTGGTAGCACGACGATCTTCTTCGTTGGTCTTCTTAGTATGTGCCCACTGCCGGTGGTTACGTCCACTACTCGTACCTCTCCGTCGACGCCAGGATATACCTTACTTATTTTCCCTCTGGGCCAGGTGTTGCGTGGTAGATTGGAGTCACAAATGATGACTAGGTCTCCAATCTTCGGCGATACTCCTATGCTGCTGGGCTCCCGCCGGTGTTGGAGTAGGGGCAGGTATTCTTTAACCCATCTTCTCCAAAACACGTCGGCTAGGGCTTGAGCTCGTTTGTGAAGCTTTCCCGCTGACTGGCTTGCACCCACAGTTGTTCGGCTCTCATATGATAAGCGGCCGGTATTCCTACAAGCGATGAGGCAGTAGGAGTCGCCTTTTTCTCCTTGGCGGAGGTGTTGCGTTTGTTTGTTCTCTGCCAGCCAGGGTCGCTACCTTGTCTTGCTTTGTTGCGTTTACGCCCAGCCTTCACTACGTGCTTGTTTGGTCTGCACATGTCGATGAATAGGAGGACTCTCGCTGTCGCCCTTATGAGGCGAATCCATTTAGAAAATCTTCCTATCTGTGGAAGATGTGTTGTTGTCGAGTCTTCACTTTTAACAGCGATGTTACATATTTCTCGCTCTTCCCCGGTGTCATATTGTGTCGTTTTCTCTTCCTGCGGCCATTCTGCCGGTGGACGCTGCAGAAACGGGGGCCCTCGGAACCATCAGTGCGACTCGTCGAACCCTTCTGGTGTGGCTCGGGTTGCGTCGTCTGCCACGTTTTCTTTAGACGGTAGCCAACGCCATTCGTTCTTTTTGGTCGTATCTTCTATCTCCGCCAGGCGATGAGCGACGAAAGCTTTGTACGCGCGAGGCTCCGATCTTATCCACACCAGTGCAGTACGGGAGTCGCACCAGTATGTCTTGCCTGCTATGTCGCCATTGTGTTCATCGATCATGGTCTGCGCAAGACGAGCTCCCAGCAGTGCCGCTTGTAACTCGAGCCGTGGTATGGAAACTGGTTTCAGTGGTGTTACGCGGCTCTTGGCGGCGGCCAATGATATGTTACCGCTGCCGTCTGCTCGCTCCGTTCTCCAATACACTGCTGCTGCGTAGGCCTCCTCGCTTGCGTCGACGAATGTGTGTAGTTGGCGCGTCGACACCGGGTTGTAATCGTAGCATCGCGGTATTCTTAGTTGTTCTATGGCGTTAAGTGAAGTAATCCAGCCTTCCCATTTTTCTTTTAATTCTGTTGGCAGAGGGTCGTCCCAGTCCGCCTTGTAACGCCATGTGTCTTGAAATATTCTCTTCGCTGGGGTGGTCACCGGTGATATTAACCCCAGCGGATCAAATAATGCCATTATGACGCTCAACGCTTCTCGTTTAGTTGGCAAGCGTTGTTTTTCTTTTACGTCGGCAGGCATCTTCATATTGTTAGTATGGAATCCAATATGATCGCTTTGTACATGCCAGAGCAGCCCTAGCGTCTTCTCAGTTTCTTTTCCGCCCAGGCACACGGTCGCGTCGTGTTGTCTATGCTCTGTCGTTATTTCTTCTATTGTTTTTTCTTCGTTCGATGTCCACCCGCTGAGTACGAATCCCGCTTGTTTGTGGACGTGATCGACTGCTTTTACTGTTTGCTGAGCTTCCGTGACAGAGTGGAAGCTCTGCAAGTAGTCGTCCATATAATGGTTTCTTTTTATGGCGACCGCAGCTTCTGGGTACGCTTCTGCATGTTCTTCAGCATTTTTATTTTTGATGTATAATGCTGTGCATGGTGATGATGTCGCTCCAAAGATGATTGACGTCATCCTATATTCCTCCGGTTGGTCCTCCCGCCGCTTGCCTCTCCACAAGAAACGTAAAACGTCTCTATCTTCTTTGCGCACTTTAATCTGCATGAACATTTCTTTTATATCGGCGCTCACTGCATACGGATACTGTCGGAACCTCATGATCACTCCGGGCAGTGATTGTAATAAGTCGGGCCCCGAGTGAAGCATATCGTTGAGACATATTCCGGCTGTCTTCGCTGCGGCGTCGTGTACCAATCTCGGCGGTTTGTTCGGTTTCGCAGGGTTGATGACTGGGAAGTGTGGCAGATACCATGTCCTTCCTTGCGGCGGTGGCATTGGCGCGCGCTCTGCGTAACCCGAGTTGAAGAGGTTCTCGATGCGTTCTTCATACTGTAGCTTGAGATTGCTGTCTCGGTCGAGCCTCTTCTCTAAGGTGTGCAGGCGCCTTTCCGCTTCTTTATAATTATTTGGTATTTGGAAGTCCTTTTGTTTCCACAACAACCCTGTCTCGAATCTGCCGTCCGCTGACCTCTGGCTGGTTTCGTCCAATATTTGCATGGCTCGCTGCTCGGGATCTTCTTTCGGTCTTCTCGGCTCGATGCACAGCGACTCCAATTTGAAATAATTTTTTATTTCTTCTTCTATCGGTGGTGCATCTTCCCTCTGATGTAGTCTGCCGCAGAAGGTGACCGTCGACGTCAATGAGCTATGACAGCCATGCAGAACCCAGCCCAGGTTGGTGTATGAGGCGACTGATTGGTCTCGACGGCCGACGCGCAGTTTTCTAGACACTATGAGGTGCCAGTTATCTTGCCCGATTAGTACTTTCGGTGAGGCGCGTTCGTAGGTGATATCCTCTTTGATATCCAACAGATGTGGGCAATTCCCCAAGTGATCTTCATTCACGGATTCTGGCGCGAAGTCCAACCGCTCTACAGTACGCGCTGCTTCTATGTTGTGTTCTTCTTGCGCGTACGTTCCTCTTATTTTAAAGCTGACGATCTTGCTCTTCTCGTGTTTCACCTCCGAGCCGACCCCTTGTATCCACATTGTGTGGGCTGGGCCGTCGGCGCCGATGACGTCGGCGATTGAGGCATCGACTAAGGTGACCGTGCTCCCTTCATCCAATAATGCGTATGTTTCGACGCAGCTTAGCGGCCCCCTTATTGTTACGGGCGCAATCTTTAGGTAAGCGCGGCGGTGCTTGTACGGTCGAGTCGCTGTGTTGACCTCCTTTGCCGATGTTGCGGTTTCCATAGCGGGTTCTTTTTCCATTACTGCTGTTCTGTCGTGATGCAACAATTTATGGTGTTTCATCATGCATCCGCCTTTTCCGCACGGTGGAGCTTTGCACAGTAATCGACGATGTTTGCCTCGCAGACAGCGGTAGCAGATATTGTACTTCTTTGCTACTTCCCATCTGTCATTTGTGGACAGAGCGGCGTATGACTTGCAATCGGGCAGTTTGTGTTCTTGTTTGCATTGAGGGCAGCGTTCTTCATATGGTTTCTTGCTTGTGGCGAAGGCACGTTCTATTTTTCTCGGTCTTCGCTCTCTCGTTTCGCTGTCCTCTGCGATGAACTCCGGCAAGGCATACGCGCTGCATTTATCCGCTTCTTCGTTTAAGAACATTGATATCTTCTTAAGCTCTGGGATATCTTCTTTCTTTCTGGCTGCATAGTCGTACCATTTGCTTTTCAATATGGGCGTGAGTTTGTCTGTGATAACTCGCGTCATTTCTGGACTATGCAGATAGTGTGCTTTCTTGAGTGCTTCCACGGTGCCCACTACGTTCGCTATGCGATTTGCGAATATGCATAGCTCCCTGGGATTGTCCGTAACTTTGTTCAGCAGCTTCAGCTTCTCTATTTCCAAGTGAATTAACGCTTCTGGTCGTCCGAATCTCCTTTCCAAAGCTTCTATTATAATTCTGGGATCTGGTTGGCTTATAAGTAGGCAACCTGCGGCTTCTTTTGCTGTCCCTTTTAAGCTTCGGCGTATTCTCGCTATGTTTTCGTTCGCCGTGAAGTAATTTGAAGATTCTTCGTACATTGTCTTGAAGCTGAGCCACTCCTTGCTGCTACCATTGAATGAGGGCAGCTCTTGTATATATTTCGGCGGCTCCCTTGTGCTTCGTACTGCTTGTGATAGAGCAGCGGCTAAGGTAGCGACGTCGATTTGCTGCTGCGCCTGTCCATAGTCTTCTTTCTGCGGCGCGGTATGTTGCGGAGCGTATTGCGGCGCACACTGTTGAAGTACGGGTGGTGCGATCTGCAGTGCTGGTTGCGGCGCGAAGTACGACGTGGGTTGCGGCGCGGGCTGCGGCGCGGGTTGTGGCGCGGGCTGAGGCGCGGGTTGCGATGTAGGTTTTTCTTGCAACCATGTACTAATGCGCACTGATGCCAAATCGTCTTCTATTTCTTCTGCTTGTAGTCGCTGCACGTGTATTTCTTGCAATTCTGTTCTTGCTTGCAACTGAGCCTGCTCGAGCTTGAGTTCGGCTAACCGCTCTTTCGCCTCTAACTCCGCGAGGAGTCTCTTGCGTGAGGCTACGGAGCGGCGTGACCTAGTCTCGCCGGGCTTCAATGTGCACTGCGATCTTTGATCACCCTCTTGCTGGGTTTCTTCCGTTGCGGTTGTTCTATCGGTTGCCGAGGTAGCGGTCGTATCGCTGACCGTTGTGGTTTCGCTAGTGGTGTTTGTTGAACCACTAGCGGCTGAGTCGCCCCCGGAGGCCTCTTCTGTGGCCCCCTGGGTTGTTTGTTCATCCTTGCGACGCTTCGATGATTCTCCGTTGTTACTACGCGTAATCACCATTCTTCTTCACAATAATATTTTTTCGTTCTTGCGGTTTGCTTCTTTCTTCCGGCAATACCAAGACCGATATTGTCTTTTTCTTCTAGTAATCCGGCTTCTCGAAGGACCATTAATATTACGGATCGCCGTAATGCCGTGCGAAAAATGGAATAAAACGCGCTGGTCTTGCTTTTAACTGGAGGCAAGCGGCGGTGAGGAGGAACTTGTACTTTTTCTTTTCTTGCTGGTGCCTTTTCGGTGGCTGGAGAGCGACTGCTGACCCTAGCGGCCGGCCCGTCTTTTATATGATTTGGCCGCTGCTGGCCAGCGGACCCTTGCCTCACCCCCGCGCCTATCTTTATTTATTTAATAACCTTACAAACTAATAAACATAATTCACTATATAATATTCTTATAACTACTTGTTAGACTAGGGTGTACATATCAATATTTTTACTTATTTACAGGTTTACATTATAATTTTCAGCTGCTTTAGGCGGAGAATCCTTCCCCCCGCCTCAGCACTATAAATATAAAACGTCGTGGCGCGGTGCGCGTGGCTTCATTTGCTCCGCGGCCGCGTCACGATAACATGCTCTTTGGTTACACTACTACTATTTTTTTTATGTGCCTAACGGCCTAATATATTTATTATATAATAAAGTAAACATTTAACAATTATAGTTTTCATTAGAAGACTATGCTAACTCTCCCTGTTCATACGGTGCCTTTATTTGGGAGAGTTATTGCACAGTTACAACTCAACCTTAAACTTAGTTATAATACAATCATTATTTTTTATCGTTCGATACAAGTAATACAATTATTTACACAAATTATAATTTAAATTCAACATAAGGTTGCGCTAGTTCCGCCGTATAACCCTTGCTAGTTGTCGAACCAGAGGCGTGGCCTGATAATTACACCGTCGTCATGGCTCCGCCCACCGCTCCTAGGTTGTTCAACTAGCGCCGGTTACAATAAGCATTTTCTTTCGTTTGTTTAATATTGTTGTGTCGTGCACAATATCTGTAATCCATAAATAGACAATTAGTCATCTCACATAACATAAAATTCCATCTGTTTTACATGTTCAATAAACATAATGTCTAAATAATCGTCACTAAACCATAAGCATGCCTTTAATTTTATTATATCATTGCTTTCTAATTTCTAATTTTAAATCTTAATACAATGTTTTATTTGCTAGCCTCTGTTACTAATAATTGCGCATGGCTGGCATGTTCAGATGCAGTCGACAACCGCACCTACCTGCTGGACGAGAATGAAAACGCCTGCGTAGGTTCGTTTTTTGCTTCTTCATATTTCAGTCACATTTATAAGTATTGTCATTCATATTTTAACTTAATTTCACACTTAAGCAACATTAAAGTATAATTTAATTTTAAATGCCATAGGGTTAATACTTATCTTTACTAAGACAAGTATTAACCCTAAGGTATTTCTAACAAATGTAATAAAACTTCTTGTATAGGTCTCAACTTATTATCATGTACATATATACCGCTTAATTGGGTTAAAAATAAAATTCATAAAATAATGTCTGATAGGATATGTTTGAAGCTTTGACGAAAGTTCTTAACATGACTGAATATTAACGTTTCTAAGGCAATATCGTTATTGCGCATAAGTCGAGCAGATTGGCTTGTGCGTATCGTTTATTTTTCTTTTAATTTTTTTCAATAGAATTAAAAAAAGAAGAAGAAAAACAATTTTTTATATAACTGAATCCAATACCCCTTAACTATAAGAATAATTCTGTCACTTTCAGATGAAGATTTTCTCGAACACCAGATGGAGCCTTCAAGTCTTTTACCGCAGCATCCTACAAAATATCTCGAACTGATGTACGACAGTGACTCGGGAGCCGACACGCTGTGCGACGGCTATGAGATACCAAGAACTCCCATAACATACACGCCCTTCTCGAGGCACAGTATAGTGGGAGTAGCACCAAATAGACTGATCAAGCCCCCCTTGTACAGAACGCACTCACTTCGAGCACCGCCTCTACGAACGCATTCGCTGCGTACGCAATCGCTACGGGCGAACACGCGACCACCCAACGCCACTATAATACCATTACGAAATGGCATCCTCAAAAGATCTTCTCTATGTGATAGTACTTCAAGAGAACCTCGTCCGAGTTCTTCACGCGAGGTAGAATTCGACAAACATAGTTTTAAGACTCCATTTTGAACTGTGATATTAGAAAAATTCCTTAAATATTCCACCGACGGCCAATCGCTATTAGACTTTTAATTATTTAAAAATTATTATTTATTAAATGACTGTAAATAAATGGATTTGTTGTACATATTAGTCTAAGTCAATTTGTATTGTGGGTTAGGTGAAGTAGGGACGCCGTTAGTACAAGGTAAACAATGTTCATATATATATTTTATGCATTTATTTCTAATTATTGTTACCTTATACCAATATAATGTATATGCATTTTAAGGTCTAATGCAAAGGAAATAAACATGCATATCAGTAACAATGTGTTTCATTAATCTCTATATAGAGGGCGCCGTTTTGAAGATACTTCTATATTCATATCTGCACATACTAATTGCTCAAACACTAAACAATTCAGTCATCAAACCTTCATAGAATTTGTCAAGTAACAGTTGTTTTTTTTTAATACCTTATTTTAAATTATTCTTTAGTTACATAGATCCGAAAACAACTACAATGCAAGTGATAAGAACAATGTTATCTCTATATGTTTGGGATCAATAAAAACTCAAAGACATGGCTGGATTAAAAAAGTCAGTGAACATATTAACTACTACTATTATATATTATATATATAATCTGTTCCATATAAGACGTTCAAGGGCTTTTTGTGACTTGTATACCATATTTTGATTTAGGATTAACAGCCATTGAACTATATATTTATATGTGGTTTTTTAAATGTATATCACAAGTCGCAACAATTATACAAACAAGCCTATTCTGTTAAATTGTTTTTATACCTTATTGGCACATAGCAATGAAGTTAATAATATGGAAAATATATAAAAAATTAGTGATTTCACTCGGTTTCAATATTCTAACATATTATGTAAATGTTAAATCTCAGCCTTGCCATTAATTTAGTCAACTAAACATAATTCTAAAAGCTAACCAAATATCTGTGTATGAAAAACTGAAATAATTACATTTAACAAAAAACTTTTTTCTTTTACTTCTGAATATTTTTTTAGAAATAACCATTGTAAGCTATTTTACAAAAGATTAAATTTTATAGGTGTAAAATATATGAATATACTTTTACTCCTACTGCTAAAGATATGGAACAAAGAAGATTTACAGTTTTTGTCTCTACATTTTTATTAAAGGTATGTGTTCATTCACCATCTGCTACCATTTCCTCCTTAATGCGTTTCTCTTGTTTTATCTGGTCAGTGGTTGTGACGGCAGCTCCCAAAGCAGGCGGTTCCTGGTTATCATCGTCTTGTGCGTCATCTTTACTGTTCTCATGCAGAAGCACATACTCCCGTTGCGAGAAACCAAATTTAACGACATCACGTTCTAGTAATTCCACGTAACGTCGTGGCTCAATTTTCTTGTTATTCACAAAGGTTCCGTTTGCAGAATCTGCAATAAAGTTAAACATTTTTTATAAGTACACTTCATACGTTCCGGGTACAGTGCGGCTGAAACCGTCCTTTAAGATTTTTATGCAAGTAATTCCTCTATAAAACGGATTTCCGCAAAGTAAAGTCTAATTCTATTAACTAGCATGCAAGAGTGACAAACAAGCACACACCTGATGATAAGTGGATTTTATGGCCATATAGACCTCTAGCTACATTTATTCTCGATAGAAAATTAAAAATGCAAATGCGTTTTTACTAAATTGGGTAAGGTGAAAAGAGATGGAAAGTCATTTCAAATGTTAAATGGTTATCTTTGATGCCTTTTTACCATGCTAAATAAAAAGATTTAATGAGCTCGTATCCCTGGTTTTAGAAATAAATTAGGATGATATCCTAATTTATTAGAATTATAAATGATGTGAGTTACAATTCATAAATCCCTAAAGCTTTAGTGATGTGGATCTTAGGCCCGCCACATACATACGGAATTCCGTTTCGGGATTCCATTTCGAAATTCTGAACGGGTCGACCACACACATTCGGAATCCCGTTTTGGCCGCAAAATTTCGAACGTAAAACTACCGTGCGTGTGACAGGTCTTGATTTTATATGGACTTGCTGCGTTCGGAATTCCGAATCGGAATATCAAAACGGAATCCCGAAACGGAATTCTATATGTATGTGGCGGTCCTAAAACATATTAACAACTAAACATCGAGAATATTTTTATGTTTAATAATCAATAACTCATCATCATCATGGTCATCATTACAGCCCACTACTGAACATACACTTTCCCCTAGGAATGTACAGGAATGCACGGTCCTTAGGCCATCTGCATCCATCCGCTTCCTACATCTCTTACCAGGTCGTCACTGCATCTAGTGGGACTCTGCCCTACACACCGAATATTAAAAAAAAGTGGAAGCAGCACAAAGTAAGCGGGGCACGCATGGCACAAACAGGCTCAGTACTGCCTAAGTGACTGTCAGTTACCGGTTTATATTGTCATGAATTGACGTGTCGCTACTTAATAGATCTAAGCGTAAATGGAAAATCCAAAAGTGCACGCCTCATGAGCGTTTCATTTAATTTTGATGAAAAAAAAAATTTATTCCTGAATTTTAAAATATATTATTTACGTGTTACGGCTACTCATATTACGTATAAGTGCAATATGGTTATGATAGAGGCATTTTAAGAACACAAAATTGCTTGACCTTGACGTGTCGAGAGTAGTACACATCTATAACGCTTCGCGTTATGAGGCGTACAATACATGTATTATATCGACAATCATTTACCTAACAATATTAACAAAAATTTAATAGAAGTTTAAAAAACTTAAAGCTATTAGTTGAAAAAGTTTACTACTCACACAAGAATATATTTTGAAAATTTTTGGAACTTGTGTTTATTTACAAAATTGGTCTTTTTTTCTTTTGACGTCTACTAAAATTATAACAGTTACGATTTAATTACCTTAACCTCGTATTAATTATATATTGACATTAGATAGATAGATAACATAACAATAACACTTTATTGTACGTCAAAAAATAACATAAATATTAACAAAAAATGAGAAAAAGAAATGTGGTACAATGGGCCGTCTTATCGCTAAAAGCGATCTTTTCCAGACAACCTTTGGATGGACAGGATTGCAAGAAAACCATAAAAACATATGTGGTTAGTATATTTTTATAAATGTAAATATATAAAAGTACAAAAAATACATTGTCATTATTCGGACAATTTATTCTGTTCGAGACGGCCAAAATGACTGTTCACAACGGCAAAAATGACTTTAAACGAGAAAGTGATTAAGGAATATTTATTTGTTTAAAAAATGAAAATACGGAAAAATTGACTAAATAATGTATTAAATATAGTTTCACCATGTATTTACAACTCTCAATATGTTTGTATAGAAGGTCGATTTGACAATAGTTAATATAAACAACTTTATTTTGTTTAAGAAAATATCGACCAATCACAGCGCGCCGCGCTATAGAACTTTCTGGAAATTTAAATTAACTGCGTAATAGTTTTAAGCAAAAAATTAATGAGAATAATTTTATGTCTGAAAAGAGTTGTAAATATGGTATTTAGTTAGCATATGATGTATAGATCGTTATAATAAAGAAATATTTTGTATAATTAAGCACGACTTAAAAGTTATAGGATAATTAAAGAATTAATATGACCAATTAGTGTAAAAGTTTAGGACATTTCAATGAATAACTTTGTTAAATGTAAATATATTAATTATCCTTTATTGCATACTAATGTAGAACAAAAATGTCTATTTGATGATGTATAGCATGTTAGAGTTAAGATTTGTATTATATAGAAAAGTTGCAATTTGTGCCATTTGCATAAAGAAAAATGATTGAAAATAAAGAGGCAAATGGGAATTGGCAAGCGGCTCTCTATAGAGTATAGCCGAAGTCTACCTTATGGGGGCAAATCATAGTAACATTGTAGTAGGAAGAACTACCAGTAACAAGCAGCAGTATCCGGTAGTAGCTGAAGTGACTAGTAGCAGAACACAGTGAAAAGTTAAAGTGAAATAGAAAAGTTTAGCTAGCCGAAAAAGGTCGTAACTGAAAAATCGCAGTTACACATAGTCGGAAAAAGTGGCAACTGAAAATTCTCAGTTGCACATAGAAAAATAGTGTCAGCTAGCCAAAAATAGTGGTAACTGATATTCGCAGTTACATATAGTGAAAAAGTGTTGGCTAGCTGAAAAAAGTGGTAACGGAAATTTCGCCGTTACATTTCGTGAAAAGTGTTAGCTAGACGGAAAAAGTGGTAACTGATATTCGCAGTTACAAGTGTTTAAATTCAACTAATTTTAGTTGATTAATAGCTGCTAGTCAGTAGTGTTAGAAAACCAGCTGCTACCAATAGAAATTTTGGATACTACCAATAGAAATTTGTTACTTTCAATAGATATTTAAAATTACCAATAGAAATTGTAGAGAATACCAATAGAAACTTGTTACTGCCAATAGAAATTTGATATTACCAACAGATATTTTAAAAATACGAATAGAAATTTTAGAAAACCAATAGAAATTTTAATATTACTGTGTGTTTAATTAAATCTGTGTTTTAAAATATATAGTGAACAATCATAGTTGAAAAATAGTGATAAATAAATAACAGTGTAAAATCTCGCGACAAATTAATTAGTCGATCCGCTGGCCACTCCCTTGCTATTTTAATTTACAAATCGTGCATTTTAATTTTGAACCTCAGTCCACAGTTTATCCGCAGCAACCAAAGAGACGGCAGTGAAAGACGGCAGTTGGAGGAGTCTGGAACCTACAGGTGTAGGACGTGAGCGACTCGCGGGGTATCTCCGACAACATTTACTCCGGAGAATTACGCCCGTCCGGCACATTTTATGGTCCTTCGAGCCGGATCCTTCCGATTGAACTGCCAGCCGGACCATTTTATGGTCCTTTGAGCCGAATCATCCGTATACACCGGACCACATACGCTGGTCATTCGAACGGGATTCGTCAATCCGTTAGTATTTCGGAACCGGGTAAATAATCACTACCGTTTTAAAGTTGCTAAAATTTCAGAATCAAGATGCCGATCACTCGTTCGCAAGGAAGGGGAACCATGGCGTGGACTGTCGGTCTGGATGATGGACCGTCGGACAATACCGACACCGTCCGCCACCAGAAGCCACCACGCTCACCATCCACAACAGAAGGCGCTGAGGCGCCAGCTTGCCCCCGCGATGGGGGGGTACTCCTGCCTGTGCCAGCCGTTGTTAAAGCCGGTACACCGAAGCAGAGAGAACAGATAGCTTGCCCCTGCGATGGGGGGGTACACCTGCCAGTGCCAGCCGTTGTTAAAGCTGGTACACCGAAGCAGAGGAAACAAATAGAAGGCAACGATGACATTCGCTGTGCATCACCGCCAACAGCCCGGGTATATTCCCGCGCCGAAGAGCCACCAAGGGGCCACACCGATAAAAGTACAAGGTCAAAGAAGACCACTCGGCCCTATAAAAAGGTTTTGAAGGCTCGTGAGGAAGTGCTGAGAATAAAATTGGAACTCGCACAGATCTCATTACAAATGGCTGAAGAAGATGATGAATCGGACGACTATGATGAGGATGGTCACTCCAAAAGTGAGTATGTCCGATCTTGGCTCGAAAATTCTGTAGCCAAGCAAAAGCCAACGCAAGGCGCAACCACCGGTGGGGAGGCCCCACTTAATAAAAACATCACAAAGCCACCCCCGGAGGTTGTCGACCTCAGTGAGCCGCCGATGAAGCTCACAAACAAGGATTCGAAGGTTGATGAAGAAAGGGAGCTCCTACCTGCTGTATCAGAGCTCACCTACCAGGATCCCAATGCTGAAAATATACCGAAGAGTCCCATACCTCAGAAGGCTTGCCAGGACTCCAAGGTTGATGAAGACAGGGGGCTCCTACCTGCTGTATCAGAGCCCGCCTACCAGGATCCCCAACCGGAAGAAGCAACCAAGAATCCCATAATAAAAAGACCTAACCAGGCACCTGTCAGCAATGAAGACAGGGTGCTCCGACCATTCATATCGGAGCTCACGTCCGCTATAGCCGCACTCGCTGATAAACCAAAACCAGAGAGTGTATCGTCAAATACTTTCGCAGCATCAAAAGCGATAATGACACTGCCGAGCTTTAGCGGAGCACATACTGAATGGCTTTCGTTCCGTGCCATTTATGAAACAACCCGAGGCTACTTCAATGACATAGAAAATACTGCTAGACTACGAAGAAGTCTACAAGGAAGAGCCTTGGAAACAGTTAGTTCGGAACTCATCGGGCATGCTAAACCAGATGAGATTATGCGAGAACTGGAGCTACAATTTGGGCGTCCAGATTCAATCGCGCAAGCAGAAACCGATAAATTACGGGGATTGCCACGCTGTACAGAGGCACCCAGAGATATTTGTACATTCGCGAGCAAAGTGAGGGGAAGCGTCGTCACA